TTTCGGCACGATTGGGCGATCTCTACCTGTAGATGTGTCACACAGTAAGGTTTCCTTACCTGTTCTCATCTGTTTGATACCTAACTTGAGGGTTGAGGACGATAACTCGTGCTGAAGATCAGTGTCTTCTTTTTGAAGCCCTGCGAGTTTAGGAAGGTCGATTCCTTGGGAACTGTTCAAGGAAGTAATGCGAGATAAGGCGTCTGCAACTACATTGTTTGCTCCAGAGATGTGTTGAATATCTGAAGTAAACTGCGAAACGTAGTCCAGTTGTCGAGACTCACTGGGAGAGTACTTGTCAGAAGGAGAGCTTAACGAGAAAGTGAGCGGTTTATGATCGGTGAAGAGAGTGAATTCACGGCCTTCGACATAGTGTTGGAAATGCCGTACAGCACAATAGATAGCTAGGAGTTCCCTACCGAATGTGCTGTACCTCGGTTCGGTGTCTAGCAACTTTCTAGAGAAAAATGCCAAAGGTTGCCAGAAATAGTTAACACACTGTTGTTAGACTCCTCCGATCGCCGGGTCGGATGCGTCTACTGCGATACTAATGGGTGCTTCAGTGTCCTGATGTGCGAGCATTGTTACTTTAGCGATCAGTTCCTTAATTGTGGAGAATGCTTTTCGTGTGGTGTCGTCCAAATTAATGGATTTCGCATTTCCACGAAGTTGGTCGGTAAGAGGTTTCATGAGTAATGCTCAATTCAGTATGAAGCGTCTATAGAAACTTACAAGGCCGATAAACGTTCGTAATTGCTTGACGCTGGTCGGTTTTGGGTAATCCAGAATGGCCGCCACTTTGGTCCTAAGAGGTCGAATGCCTTGAGCATCGATAGTGTGTCCTAGGAAGTCTAACGAGTCGGTCCCTATTCGGCATTTCTGAACGTTTACAGTTATGCCATCTTTTTGTAATCGTTCGAAAACAAGATCCAGATGCCTGAGATGTCATTCTCTGTCCGGACTTGCGATTAGGCCGATTCGTTAAGCCGGTCGTTAGGATTTGCTGGGAGAACGCTAACTTCTGCGCCAGTGTCGACGAGGTAGCGAACTCTCGTTGTCACATCTGTGACGTATAACAGACGGCTATGTTTGCCGGCTACGGTTGCCGTTAACGCGTGCCGGCTTGGAAGTTTCCCGAGTTGTTTTTCGAGTCACTCAGTTTCGTGTTGGGAAAATTGCAGGGTTTTCTGCAATTTCTGGGAAACTTTCCATACTGGTTATGATACCAGCACCAGTCGGGATTATCCGTCTCTCGTGGCCTAGAGACAGATCACTTACGTGAAATGCTTCTACGTGGGCTGTGTGAGTGATTACGGTCGTTACGAAGAATAAGATAACGCGTGAGTGTAGGACATAACTCGTATATGTCATTCTGAGTTGTGTGAGGCTTTTCTTTGACTGAAAATACCTCTGTAGTAGACGATTTCGTTATTTCCAAAATACGGTCTTAAGCTTGAGTTCTTTGGATGTCTGTTCAGTCATGATGAAATATGAAGTGCGATAATGAACGAGGGGAAAATATATATATATCCAAGAAAAAAGTCACAATGTTTAAAAAAATAAAAAATAAGGCAATGATATATAAAAAAATTTCAAAAAGGAACAGACTCACAGTTGCAATTAGGTGTACCAGATCACGTCGGTCTCACCAATGAAGAATGACACAGGTGGTGGAGAAGATTTGTAGCTCAGGTGGATGATTTTGGTGGTGTTTTGTTCTCTGAGCTGGATGGTTTGGTCGTGGAGCTTTCATCGTTCTTCTAAACGACATCATCAGCACAAACTTCAGATAGAAGTGAAGTGTTCGAATTTCTCCAAATGTGTTTCACAGATTGTTCTGTGCACCTCGATGTTGATTGGTTCTTGTTGACCTTAAATTTATCAATTAGCAGTCAAACGCCATGATATCTCTTCACTTATATCAATACACGTGGATAACTACGGACATTCATTCGATTGGGAAAATGTAGAAATCTTAGACAGAGGAAACTCCAAAAACACCAGAGAATTTTTAGAAGCTTGGCACTCAGGTCAATCAGCAATCAACAAACATATTGAAATCAATCCAATTTATCAACCAATCAGGAAAATCATGCATAAATATAGGAACAAAAATCAAACCAATGGGAGACACAACCAAAACAAAGAAGTAAACAATGATAAATTTAAGGTCAACAAGAACCAATCAACATCGAGGTGCACAGAACAAGCTGTGAAACACATATGGAGAAATTCGAACACTTCACTTCTATCTGAAGTTTGTGCTGATGATGTCGTTCAGAAGAACGATGAAAGCTCCACGACCAAACCATCCAGCTCAGAGAACAAAACACCACCAAAAAAATGACACAGGTATTCAGTGTTTGACAACGCTTCTACCAGTAACACCTTCTAATATGATTTGTACACACCGAGAGAAATCAAAAGACAGAGTCGAGGAGATCGGAAGAGTGTATTTGGAGATAACCAAAATATCGGAATTCTCTGATCTAATCTGGCTAGCGATTGCGTTTGATGTTTAGCACGGCGTTACCACACGTGATCTGGTGCGGATGCCTGACCGAGCGCCTTCAGCTAGATGAGTCCACTAAAACATATGGTCAGCATCCAATGTCGAAAACTTACAGGTCTATTTATTTTGGGATTTATTTACCGCTACAGGTGGAATAATTCAAGCAACTCTTGAATAGACCAGCTTTGTTGAGTCCACCAGATATCGAAGCAGCACACACTGGCCTTCTTATATATGTCACTCTCAATAATGAAACAAAGACCTCTGAACTGTGTGCATTTACGTATATGATTTAATAATCCGTGAATTCTGTCCAATTCACCGCATTGAATATAACATCACACCACGTTCTATCATCATTTCTCTTACATCCGATAACATTTTCAAAGTAGAATTTATTACTTCTTTGATATCAATGTAAACAACGTGTGCATTTTCTTAACAAACATATTTGTGTTGACCTCGTTTGTTTATAGAAACACTAATGATCATACTTTGTTTATCATTGATCACCTCATTCCATCTCATAATGAGATCATATGGTATTGTCTATACTCTATTCTGTCTAGTGGGTGTAATATAAATCTTAGTTAGAATAAAATATTTCGCTTCGTAATAATCTGTTCATGTGACTGACAAAATGATTAGAATTCTCATGTTATAGAAGACTACTACTTCCCTTAAGGAAAATCAAGTGAAAACAATCACTGTTGTGGTATTTATAAAACTCTTGTGTCCAATCTTCATGGCATTTATTCGCTGAGGTACCTGTAGTTTCATGCTGTTCAACTGTGTATCAGAGATCTGCATTATTGTATGGTAAGTTTGCAGCTGACCAACACACTGGTAACAGACATATATATGTATCACATTGTATTTTAGCTACAGCTAAGTTCATAGAAACGGACTGCTGATTACATCTCTTATCTCAGTGGAACGATCGCCGTTTGCTCGTTCATTTCGTTTGGAGTCAGCAAGTGACTTCACTAAACAGTACTATATTTTCTGCTCACTCTAAGTCGGTACGTGGACCTCTAGGAAGGAGATCAATGCGCGAGAATTCAATCGACGAGAACATTATTGCCATTAGTAGGTCTATGATGAAGTTAAACAAAAATAGAGAAAGTGGACAACCTTGACAGGCACCACATGATGTTGAAAAATCAGATGACAGTTCGCCATAAGCTCTGACTCCACTAGTAGTGTTCTAGTGAAGAGCCATCACAGGGTTTATGTACTTCTGATGTGAGCCTTTCAATGACAGACACTGTCACAGCACCTCTCGATCCACGGAGTCAAATGCAGCTTTTTAATCAACGAAAACTATCATCAGTACTCATTCATAAATATATACCACTCTAATCCTTAGCAAATTGATCCATTTCACAGACAATGACATGAAAATGTCTTTCAGGTCACTTGTGATTGCCATCGGTTGATACTCGCCTTAGACTACTTCTGATTAGCTCTCCATATCAACATATCTCTTACTCATTATAGTTATCTAATTATGAAAATATGTCAGTAATTTTTTATGTAACTACAGTATTATTTCCATACAAAATCTTTTAGGAGTATTGCACAACTTTCCTAATTGGTTGGGACATGTGTTACTTATGCCCAACCACCGACCGCCCCGACGTGTGATGTTTTATGGTGTAGGAGTAGGTTGAAAGAAAACTAGAGGCGGCTAAACCAAAACATGACATGAATTCATGAAGTCACTGACAAGTTTACTGAGTCATGTTGGTAGATGTAGACTGCCTTGTTCAGATCCGCAAGACGATAGGAAATAATGGTTAGAGATCTTGAATGACATGGCTCAAAATCGTTTGCAATGATGCAAGTGCATCCACTCTTTGTGTTCTCCCAAATTCTAATCTTCTGAAATATTCCTGTCCCTTTGTTTTTTTCTCTTTTCAAATTTATTTCACTCCATTATATTCCTTGAATAGCAGTTTCAAACCCAAATGTTTCCGATTACTGCTGTTACTTTTACTACCTCTACCACTATGGGTTGAATGGACAATTGTATCTGTGTGCTGATGTGGTATAGCAACTTGAACTGATGTGCGTACTTACGTAAGTAAGAAATGGTAATTTGTTACTGACTGACTGTCTGACGGACTGAACAGTAACCATAGTAAAGTTTGTCTAATCACATTCCGAGTTTATTCGTTTGAGTTAAGAAGCTGTTGGTTCACGTAGAATCTATAGCACTACCCAATAATATTGATTTAGTCTACACTCATAAATATCTAAATAAATCAATTATTCTTCCCAGAAACATTCTACAATTAACATTAAAGAGTAAAGTTAAAATGAACACTGATACGATGGATGTCATACATACCAATGCTAATTATAATGAGATGAATGATATTTTAAGAAAACACTTATTTAAAAAGAAATAAAGACAAACTTGATCTTCATGTCATAGAAATTAATTCACACAATTGTTTCTAACTACTTTTATCGATATAAGTAGTTAAATATGAATAAAATTTGATAGTAACCAATTTCTCACAGCATATTCATGTGATTTTTTCACAGAAAATGTAGCATAATTGGGCAAATTTTCACATGAATCATCAATCTTTTCTCCATTTTCTTCAGTATTCTTTGCAGTGGTCTGTAAAAGACTCAATTCAGTTGAAGTATTTGGAAAGATTCTTTCATCAATCATATTATCATCATCATCTTCGTCGATGGGTGAACATTTGAGTTGATTTTTAACTTGTATTAGTAATGATTGAAGATGATCTAACTTCTTTCGAACTTCATCTATTTCATTTTCATCAAGACTAGATATTGAATGTGGAGATTTTGGTTTTGGAATATAAGAACATCGTGGAGACAATTGACTCATCCTATTCCTTATGTAAATTGAAGAAAAATAGAAAACATGTATGGTTGATAATGATCAAGAGAAAAACGAACACATATGAAGTTGCAACTGTTATTCAAAACTATTAAACCAAGAAATTAGGTTGCAATGCCTGTCGAGTTCATTAGGACCCAACTTTCGAAGCAGCAAGCGGAGCTTCCAAGCATCATCCTGATTAGCAAAGTCGAATTTGAATAAGTCTTCGTAACGTGGAAACCACATATCAAACGTGACATTGAATTCTGGATCGTAATGAAACTCGGAAGTACTGTTAGCGATACCATCAACTGATGGTGCAGCAGTAGTAGGATTAGAACTGCTTGATTGAGTATTAGACGTAAGCTTTGCATCTGCTAACATCTGAATAAGTTTCATCTGCTGCTCGAGTAAAAATTCAAGTTTAGAAGGATCCATGTTTCCAAAAGCACCGTCGTCAAATTGTTAGGTTCGTTAACCTTGAGGATACTACTGGTTCGACTTATTCGAAACGGAACGAAGGCTCAGGATTCAGAGACTCAATAGACTATTCTGGTCCGTTGTCTTCGACTCATCTAACTCGGTCAAGAAGTCTTGATAAGGCGTAGAGAGTGTATTCTACAAGCAACAGCAGATACCCAGCCAGGTCAGGCAGATCAGATCAAGCATACTAGTCAAGCGTATGTGTGAACATTTCAGAATATTACAGTACAACTTGCGTTACAATATGAGTGTGAAAATTGTCCGGAATACAACTGCTTACTGAATGTAAATAAGTAGTATAATACAGTATACAAAAGAGTGAAAAGGGAACAAGGAGGAACAATGTAAAACAAACTTATCAACATCTTTCGCGTTTTCAATAATCTTTTGATTGATTTCAATCTCCTCTATCAAGTCATATATCGAGCATTATCAGTATGGGGTTGTGGAAATTATTAAGCTTTTGATTGAGATCATGAAGTGATTGATGTTAGACGATCACCAACAGCACTGGAAGGTCTTCCAGTGCTTTCAGGATTTCAATGGTCGTCCAACATCAATTGGTTCATGATCTGAATCAAAATATATTGATAAGTTCTCTTCACAGACTGTCAATTCAAACGATTGATTTAACTTGAAATGAATAAAGAGTCTGCTTGTTTTTTGACTAACATTTCTAATGAAATACCATTCTACGTGGGGTTCACTTTTCCATAGACTGGTCACTACACAATCCTTCTATTCTAGACATCTACTTCTCGACTTATACGATTTAGTACACTAACAGAAGAATAGGAGGATGAATGATAAAGATTTATTTCTGTTGTGACTTTATGATCCGCTTCTTATTAGGTAATCTATTCGCCAATCGAAATATGACTTATTCGCTCTTATACTGTACTAAACCAATGACGTTCGACCGGTCTGATCAGCCTAGCGTCCTAATGGTTCGGTGCTCGCCTAGCCCGTCAACTTGAGTTCAATAACAGCATTTCGAGAAGGATAGCTTAATCTCTTCACTCTCAAACATACCAGGGCATTTGAGGTTCTGATTTTCATGCATTTTGTCTATAACGATCCATAATTATACTTTGAAGAAATTGAAATTCATAGTATTCAGCAGTGATGATTCAATAATCCAAGAGATGAAAATGTTATCATCAACATACATAAATGATCCATGTGTTTAGTTAGATTAGAGAATTTTAAATTATTTGTGGAATGTACTATTGTGACCCCATATCTGACTTCAATTGGATCAAATGAATGATTGTTATTGAAATATACGATGTCGAAATCTATATGTCGCCAATCCTCATGTGTAATAATAGTCGACTTGACTCGGGTTAGTGAATAAAGGAATACAAATAAGTCAAATACGTGAATGAATTTCGAATACGTATATCTCATACAATCATTGATCTAGACAAACAATCAGAGGGATGATGAGAATAGAAGAGAGCGAAGTGAAATTATGAGCAGTGGTGGAGAAGCCACATAAGCCAACGCCATTTAATCGATAAGCTACACACATGTGATGAATAGGATAGGATATACACACACACATATATACACTCATATAAAAACAGTCAAGATTGATAAGTGAATAATTAACAAGATCACGATGTGACTCAAGAAGAACCGTTAAATTGGCCTGTCCATCCTGAAGCTAGAATAACCTATGTGGGATTAACATAGTAACTTACACTACAGTACTCAATCTGTAAATTCAATAGTAACCACCTTTCATTCCTTTAATGACCAGAGAAACGAAAGAGGGAAATTCATTCAAACTATCTTGATAATACTTCTTTAGTTTCTAGTAATTTTCTAGTTATCGATCCACAGTTGACAAAAAAATGTTGATCCAGAAGTTGAGTTATATACGTGATCTTGTTCATTCCACTTGATTCACCATGATCAAGTCATTTTATTTCAATTCGAGTGTTTAGTTTGTTTTACATTGTTCTTACTCACTTTTCTTCCAGTCTTTTGTATATATTGTTTTATACTACTTAATTATATTAAGTAAGCAGTTGTATTCCCGGCAATTTTTCACTTCTATTGTGACGCAAGTTGTCGTGTAGCATTCTGAAATATTCACTTATACTTAAACGTATATTGTACTTAACACTGTGTTTATCAGTTTAATTACTATACCTTAATCACTGCAGCGGTTATCTACAGTTTTGTGCATTTGTTTAAACGCAACAGTTTCCATATTGTTTTACTCTTGGTTCGGGTTTTGGTTGCTGATAAACTGTTATCAAATTTAGACACAACTATCAGGTTGTCCATGTCCTATCGTACGTTGTAACTATTCCTTATGTTCCCTCCAAGTTTCAGCTCCATACAGTAGAACTGCCTTGACGTTCGTATTGAAGATTCTCACTTTGATATTGGTTGAAAGTTGTTTTGAATTCCATATGTTCTTCAATTGTAGGAATGCGGCCCTTGCTTTGCCAATCCTCGCCTTTACGTCTGCATCTGAACCTCCTTGTCCATCGACGTATTAAGTCAAGCACTATTGAACGCTAGCATCAGCCTATTCAATCCTTTTTTTCAAAAAAAATCTTTTCACAAACACTTTTGACAATCGAACGTCTATGAATACTTATTTATAACTGTTGTATTACTAGAGGCCACAGGCAATATCCAAACCGAGAATTCAACAGTTGTTTTATGAGTACAACGAGTTTAAGGTTGTACTGTTACTTCCCCAATCGAAGGTTGTTCAAAGCATAACATTATTCTCAGACTGATATACCCATCTACATATATTGAGTGATATTTTAGCAGAGTTCTAACACTGGACAACATATCTCATAATGATGAAATAACCGCTTCCATAATGAGCACTCAGTTCATTATTCGTAGTGTGAAAGAACAAGTCTTGTAAAATATCACAGCTTTTATCCCTCCAGTTTAAGTAAACGTTTCTAAACTGATTACTTTTGCTTTCAACTCTTCTCTTTATCTAACATTGATTTCACAAGGAATAATTCGTTTACACAACATTTGTCACTGATGTTTTCAATGGACTAATACCTCCTGTAAGATCCATTTTGATGGTTTTGTGCGTGTGTGTGTGAAAATCCCTCCATGTATACATTTGTAGTTTGTTCCTATTGTTGTTCGTTTGGTTGTACATTATGTTATTCTTTTTGATTCCATTTGAATTGGTCATATTTGTATTTTATTATAGTTTTTATTTTTCTTATGCCTTCACTAAGTTTCCGTGTTTGTTGCTGAACTGCATTTATGTTGTGTTTACTTGATACTAAGTCTTGGCAGCAGCCATATTGGTTTGTTCCTACTTTTGATTATGTTGCTTGTATTGACTAGAATTTTGCAAGTTTTGATTGTGAATTGAAGCACACCTCCAGAATTCGAAACACTCTGTGTTATAAAGCAATCAAATAGTATCTTTTGAACGAAACTGTGCGTGATCTAACCAGACAGGATGGAATAACATTGATTTGTTGCGATTGGTAATTTTTGCTCATCCTTTATCCACTTCCTTATTTATTGTAAATTAGATTTGATTCATTGAACAATTATTGGCTGAGAAGCTGGGTGGTCATATTTGTTTAGGTATAATGAATTTCACAAATATCATTTTAACCAATCACATTGTTTTGCTTTCAACCGGACAAGGGCGCGTATCTAACCCACCTAGACAGTTATTCTTCAGTCCAAACCTTTGTTTGCATCTAGCACCTCCAAGAATTTGTACGTCAATTAAAATGAAGTATCTTTCAAATTATGAAAACAAAACTTATGTACCAGAAAATTTACGAAGTTATAGAAGGTGATTTAACGTCATTGAGATTTTCTCTAAATGGAGTGTTAGCGTTAATTCTGGCATTGAATGATGGAATATATAAGAGACATTTCTTTTCCTAATAAAACTTAAAACAGCATTAGAATAATTTCAGAGTGGGTATCCGTTGACATCGCAGTAATTTTCACGTTGGGATTCATGAGTATTATGCTAAACGGCTTTCTGATGAATCCAAGTTTTTAATGGTGGCCTAGCCCAGATTGATACATGGATTCAAGCATTGTCATATTACCATAGTAGTTTAATTTTACATCACCTAAGAGATACACTTGATGTTTTACGCTTCGCAACTCATCCAGTGTATGTAAATCTACCAGGAGTGTGACGAAACAGGAATCACAAAAAGACTTATTCTTATCATAAAATATGAAGTTAGTTGAACAATACAACTGAGATGGTCGATGATTGAAGTGCTTATTCTTAGCTGGAGAAAGACCATCTATGAATTGACAACCAGAACATTTGCTTCCACTTCATCTTCTTTTTAGCAAAGTAGTAATAATATGTAAAATGAGCATTCCACTCATCTTTGATGTCAGCCAAATAAACAACAACCAACATTCATATGACACCCACGATAAACAATAGAGAATACCATATTATTTATTGATTAATGAGATGCAATGAGGTGATCAATGATAAACAATGTATGATCATAGCTGATTTTACAAACAAAAAAGAGGTCAACACAAATATGTTTTTGTTCATTAGACAAACACGTTGTTTACACTGAGATAGAAGAAGGAGTAATCAATTTTACCTTGAAAATGTTATCGGATGTAAAAAGGAATGATGCTAGAACGTGGTGTTATGCTATATTCAATACGACGAATCAGACAGAATTCGCAATTTGTCTTTGCAAATCTTATTCCTCAAAGCAAGCGATATACAGGTTTGTGGTGTTTTTATGAAGTAGGTTTGGAAATTGACAAGTTCTCGTGATAATTCAATTCATTAAGTCACTTTATCTACGATTCAATGAATATTGTTTGAGACAGTAACTTAGGAATGCTAAAATAGTTAACTATTTCCAAACATTCGTACATTCACTCTCTGCCATACGACCAAAGCATTTGGCAACCTTGATAAAATATCACAACCATTGCATTGAATACTTCATTTGCGAATTTCCATCATTTGTCCAACACATTCTGTATGATTCTTCCAAAATACACTCTCTTTTTTCCCTTATATTTTCTTTAACTCGATCTTAGCCTTCTGCTGTCAGGTTTTCCACTTCCGATCGGTGTTACAAACTACTTAAATCGACGGACAAAAGCAGTATACACCAAAGCTTTAATGAAAAATATAAGTCCGCAAACGTACAGCGAGCAAGCATACGATGAAACAATTTGAGTGAGTGTGTTTGTGTGTGTCAGTCTGTGTGTTGAAAATCCATATATAACTTTTACAATTAATCGGGTGTGGATAAAATTTCGAATATCAGTACATTCCAACCAGTAAGAGGATAGCTTAAGGGTTAATGTACAGCGATGCATTCGATCATACACACTGAAATTAACATAATGAATTAATAGTCTGAAATACAATGAGTAGACAAGTGATACAGTGATCAAATAGGCTTGCCACAATATACAACAATCTATATTTCGCTACAATTCGGGACTCAATCACAGCTCTTATTCACATGCTGTTCTTCATTCAGACTTTCAGTCTTAGCATGTTATCTATGAAAATAGACAAATGAATCACAATTCAATCATAATTCGTGTTTTCAAACATCAATCTCCTTGATGCTGTTTATCTTTGTGTTTCATCACGCAGAAGTACATATTTCGGTTTTAGTTTTGAATAAATGAAATCTACACAGATTGAATACTGTGATATAGTGCTATTCACTCATTTAATAGTATGATTTAATCAACCGAATGTTGAATAGTAGTTCGATTCGTGTATCATTCAGAAGACATTGGTTTTATGCTGCTAATAAGATTCAGATTCTGTAAGTTTCCTTTTCCTTAACAGTTCTAAATGGAAATTAATCTGATCCTAACTGCATTCAGACCTCAGTATTGTAGATGTTCATGAATTGATCTGGCAGATTTCTTAGAAGGTCTATAGCGGTAAATATGATGAGGGTGCTATCAACATTGACGACTCGATGAACCACAAAGTAGCAAATATTATATTTATGAAGTGAAGATGAACATGATGTCCGTGATCATTATTATTATTATTATTATTATTATTATTATTATTATTATCATCATCATCATCATCATCATCATCATCATCCAAATCATCATCATCATCATCATCATCATCATTATCATCATCATCATCATCATCATCCAAATCATCATCATCATCATTATCATCATCATCATCATCATCATCCAAATCATCATCATCATCATCATCATCATCACTATCTACTTGAAATATTAATGTAACACATTATGTTGACTATCATGAAACTGTTCTACCAATTACTTGATTTCTAACGATCACATTAGAATTCACTTGTTAAAATGATATTTGTAGTGTGGTGTCGAGTTGCGGTTGACTATGAACACCACCACAAGAAGACTACGTGCCAGTTAACCGATAAAATCCTTCGTAAACCAAATATCAGAAGGCAGTTGATGGCTGTAGTCGAGGTGCATTTGTTGGCGATTATACAAACGAGCACAGTAAAACAATCACTGGTACAATTGGTTATAATAATGATTGTTTCCATTAAATCCATCGCGTTCTCTTGATGATAGTAGGTAACTACATATTCCACATTGCAAACTGTAATCAAATATTGACATTATAGAGAGAAGAACTGTTGCTCAGAAGGTTGATGTTGTATCTTTTCAACTGACTTATTGATTAGTTGCTCTATAAACATGATCTCTTCCTTGTTCTAGGAGCCGAGTACTTGAATTCTCTATTGGAGTCCAGGCAATTCAACTTCACCACAGTCATCATACATCATCATTCATTGTTCATCTGTGTTGCTCAGTACAATCGCTTTGTAATTACTGTAATAATTCACAAATTGGTGTGGCAACTCGAACCGACGTACGTACGTACGAAGTTCTACGTTGTTACTGACTGACTGAATTCACATTGCAACTTCAAACAATGATACTTCCATGCATTTTCCGGTCAAACTATTCCATCACCAAATTTCTGTATATATAATTATAATATAACATTCTCATTCAACGCTATTTCAGGTTCAATAATTTTTGATAATCAAGGATTATCTTATTTATTTTACAAATAAATGTAAACCATGTGTTCATTAATCCCATGTGTGAACTGACTGATTACCTGAGTCATGTTTGTTTAATGCTTTTATTGTAGCGTCACCATCAGTTTTGTCGTTGCATATTATAAGGTTCAATTTTCAGTAATTGAAAGCAATCGAGAGGAGCCTATAAACGTACGCATCGTGTTAGTTGACAATGATCAAAAAGATGTATCTCTTAACTTTAGGGAACTAACGGTAGTTGTGAGATGAGAATCTAAGTCTCTTTCCATCTGGAACTAGACCATTAAATATTTCGAGAATTGTCTGAACTCTAAAGAATGAACGAACATAACATTAATGTAACAGATCTCACTCACACAGAGAGCTTAATTAGCTCGGTAGTAACTCGTATTCAGAATCTCTTATCCAAATTCTTTTTATGTTTATATCTTTCTCAAACTTCCCATTCATCTTTCCCAATTCACATTGATTTCTCTTCATCGTAATTACCTTGACTATACCGCATTTATTTCATACTGAATTCATAACAACGTCGGTTATATCACTACTGCTACTACTATTATTATTATTATTATTATATTGATAAAAACCTTACTACAACTCATTCAGACCTTCATTAACTGACTTGGCTTATTTACAAATCACACCATCTCCAAGTAGTTCTATAGAAACATATAACATTGGTCATTTTATTCATGCCTGCCTTATATTGTCATACCCTTTAGTTGTGTAAAATAGATTTAAACTATTTATCGAATGGAGTAGTTTACAAAAGAATCCTTACAGAGGCTCTCAACAGTGAAATATCTTCCTCACCTCTTCTCTGACTTGCAAATTTACAACCATACTAATAAGCTTGACAGTAAATCTTCACTTGACATTTGAGAAGACAACAATCATTCAAATGAAATCCATCAAAGGAAAAAATAAATTTGATCGGAACAAAAGATACTACTTATTTGAGGATTATTTTTAAAACAACAACCATTTCAAACAAACAATATAAAAATTCCGTTAGGTGGGAAAAACAGTGAGAAGATCAAATAAAAGGAGAAATTGGTGAATGGAACAAAACAACAAAGATGACGACGATAATGACAACATTGACACATGCACACACACATTCACACATGCTTATTTACATGTTACCAGATTTTAAAGATTGTTAGTGTTTACTAATTGCAGGCAAATATATCAGTGTCTGTGTGTTCAAGCTAAGAATGTCGACAACAACTTCACATCAAACTAAAGTGTACTAATACATGGAATCAACCAGATTGGAGACTAGTTGAAAAATCAGACATGATGTCAGGTCCTCCCTTGAACTGTGTTGCTTGATAAGTCATGCTGTTGCTACAATGTGGAATATTGATACGCAAATGCTTATATGAGTCAAATGTATTGAGAAGAAAAGACATGATTAGTCAGCAACCAAACAAGTTCAAAATATATCCTAACTGACCTGCTCTTTTAAGTGAAACTTGTATTTCATCGGTTTGTTTCCTACAATGTTATATCATTGTGCTAGACCTGTCATTGTCTTGTATTTACGAAACGTCAATGTCGGAGCTGGAATCAGATTTACTTAAAAGATGAATTATGTAGGTTTGAGTCTGGTTTGACGGTATATTATTGTTGAAGGAGTGTGTTATATCCGAGCGAAGATTAAATCACGAGTAACTTCTGAGGCATAATAATTGACTAATATGCATAAGCCATAACAATTGCCGGTGATTTTGGAGTTAATATTATTATTAACATTGAAAAAAACTGTCGACTTCTTCAGAACAGTTACAGTTAATATTACAACAGCATTAGCAATATTACCAGCAGATGTTAACAGAGTGTGAATGAAATTACGAATGAGGGAAATTGGAAGTGAAAATCGTCAGAATGAAAACAAACTAATGGCTCGATTCGATAATACAGGTAGTTATAGAGAAATATCAAAATTGTGGAAGAGATGCTCCTACTGAGGCAACGTATATTCTATTGCTCAGTTGTATTTGAAATCTGTTAAGTATTAGCTATATGGGATTACGAGTAATTGGACAGTTTATAATTGCATCACATTATAATGCAGTAGCATTGTAACTAGAAACGGATAGAGTGAATTTAGTTATGAAATAGAAATTTTCACTTGATAACTGTTGGTCAACAAAAGTAGTTTACCTAAATTCATTAAACGAGCAGGATCAGAGATGCAGAAGGATATTTATAAGTGGAGTAGTAACAATATGATAAATGGACTGAAGTTAGAGTAGTAAATCAACTGATGCATCGTACAAAATGTCTGCAGATCTCGGTTTTGTCTTCGATAAAATTGCTGTTGTGCTCAGTTGAGGTTTATTACGCGTGAACAGAAGAGATTTCATCATAAACTGGAACGATATTTATGTTCAGCAATCTCTGTGATTGTTTTGATATCAGCTCTGAATGGAACTGTTTTTCAAGGTAATTGACTTCACTGATAGCATATATTTTAAAAACGATTCATACAACCAGTCAACTCCTACCGAAGTAACGTTACATTCTGCAGTAGTTACGTGACTTTTGTTACCGTCATTCTAAATACAGGTAGCGATACAAAGTCATCATTCATTATGATGCACATTCAATCAATTCCAGATCGATCACGACATAAGTTGACGACAATTCATGAGGAGATGATGATTGATGTCTGATAGTGGTCATATTGACATTCCAAATAATGAAAATTGACTACTACTTTTTTAGGACAATGATCTTTGAAAACATTTATCCTACTTGTAAATAGTTCAAAGGCATACATAAAAAATTAGTCACCAGCCTGAGTTTTGATTGGTATCATGAATCGATCAATGTTAGACCACCATTGAAAACCTAGAACACAGGATGGTCATTTCGTCCTACTACGAGACTCATCAGCACTGTTCATCCATGATCGCGCATTCGTGACTCGAACGCATGACCTTCGATCGTACACTCAAATCGGAGAAAGGTCACTGCACAACTGAATATTTACAAGAGACCGGTCACAGGCATATTATTATTATTATTATTATTATTATTATTATTATTATTATTATTATTAGTAGTAGTAGTAGTAGTAGTAGTAGTAGTAGTAGTAGTAGTAGTAGTAGTAGTAGTAGTAGTAGTAGTAGTAGTAGTAGTAGTAGTAGTAGTAGTAGTAGTAGTAGTAGTAGTAGTAGTAGTAGTAGTAGTAGTAGTAGTAGTAGTAGTAGTAGTAGTAGTAGTAGTAGTAGTAGTAGTAGTAGTAGTAGTAGTAGTAGTAGTAGTAGTAGTAGTAGTAGTAGTAGTAGTAGTAGTAGTAGTAGTAGTAGTAGTAGTAGTAGTAGTAGTAGTAGTAGTAGTAGTAGTAGTAGTAGTAGTAGTAGTAGTAGTAGTAGTAGTAGTAGTAGTAGTAGTAGTAGTAGTAGTAGTAGTAGTAGTAGTAGTAGTAGTAGTAGTAGTAGTAGTAGTAGTAGTAGTAGTAGTAGTAGTAGTAGTAGTAGTAGTAGTAGTAGTAGTAGTAGTAGTAGTAGTAGTAGTAGTAGTAGTAGTAGTAGTAGTAGTAGTAGTAGTAGTAGTAGTAGTAGTAGTAGTAGTAGTAGTAGTAGTAGTAGTAGTAGTAGTAGTAGTAGTAGTAGTAGTAGTAGTAGTAGTAGTAGTAGTAGTAGTAGTAGTAGTAGTAGTAGTAGTAGTAGTAGTAGTAGTAGTAGTAGTAGTAGTAGTAGTAGTAGTAGTAGTAGTAGTAGTAGTAGTAGTAGTAGTAGTAGTAGTAGTAGTAGTAGTAGTAGTAGTAGTAGTAGTAGTAGTAGTAGTAGTAGTAGTAGTAGTAGTAGTAGTACTAGTAGTAGTGATATCCATAGTTCATAGAAGTTTTCAATGTCACATTTTCTTCAGTATACGGTCCGATAGAACAACAGTTTGCATAATCATTATGTGAATAAAATGAACTCTTTGTACATAGAGAATTGTTTGAACCTTAATCTTCTGTTATAGATGGACCACATAATGAAACTACAACGAGATTGTTGAAGCCTTTCGGAATAGGCGTAGCACACGAAACAACAATATTACCACAACAAATACTATGCAAATCAAAAGATGAAATGACAAAAGAATAATAATCGAACATCATCTACAAAATAGATTATGTCAATTGTGGAAATCACTGCATCGGACAAAGTGGATGCCCTCTTCATCTTCGCCTGTATGAACATGAATTATTGGTCAAAAGCCATAGCATATCTCAATTCTTGTCGTTGATTTCCGTCCAGGTGATGAGATATTTCACGCGTGCCTAATTCAAAGGAGATTAATTCAACTGTCGTTGTACTTTTAATCATAACTTCGATCTATACGTTGTACAGAATATATCGCAAGTAGTCTTATGACATTTCACCAGATTAATAGTGAGAAATTTAAAAGTGCACAAATGAGAAATTCCTGGCTGATTGATTATTTCACAACGATACATAGTTTCACTCATTTAGATATGAGGAGTAGTATGACCTGATTCTCATTCACATAGTGTTAGCTAATTAATAATCAATTAAAAGAACAGCATAATAAGAATAAATTGAATGGTTAAAATGTTGATTTACAAATTTATTAGATGTTTTGACTGAATACATTTGACCAAGAAGAAACAGCAAATTTCAGGAATTGGTACAATTATTCATCGATGATGTATGATTAGGTTGGCGAATTCGCTAACACCTGAACCAAAAACTCAACAGTATCATGCTCATGGCTATACTCGAGGGTTTTGAACTTGATCTCATATGAATACAATGGTGTGTTCAAAATGGAGTCTGGAAACAAATTCACTTACTAATCACTTGTTTTTTCTTTCAACCGAATTATTGTCTGATATAACTGTTGTTTTTGTCAAGACATGTACTGCTAATCAAGATAGACATCTGAAGCAATGAACAGGAGTATGAGGTTTATGGAAGAGAAGATCTAGATGACTTGACTGATGACGATCTAATTGAAAACAATATTGTTTGCTTACATGTGTTGTTCTAATTTTCACTATAGAAATCTTGAATATTGAAGAAAAGTAATACATTTTCTTGAAGTGTCATCCTTTTTATTGACATTTTGCCACAATGTTGCTTTCTATCCTTACTGTAGGTCTCTCAGATATGAAATAAATCATAATTATCCTATTCCGATGAACCCGATTTTTCTTAGTTCCACGCATTTACTCTGTTTATATTCTTTACTTTTCAATCTTCCATTTTTGTATTCGAACAGGATCAAACTCGTCTGAAGGTGAAGAGAGACATCTTAACCAACCTTCATTTTGATGTTGTTGTTGTTAGTAGTGGTAGTAGTGGTAGTAGTAGTAGTAGTAGTGGTAGTAGTAGTAGTAGTAGTAGTAGTAGTAGTAGTAGTAGTAGTAGTAGTAGTAGTAGTAGTAGTAGTAGTAGTAGTAGTAGTAGTAGTAGTAGTAGTAGTAGTAGTAGTAGTAGTAGTAGTAGTGGTAGTAGTGGGTTTTCACCACTAGTTGTTTTGCTTAATCATTTACAACAGGTAAACATTCGTTTCTTCGGATGTGAAAATGGACTACTTCAACATCATATAAGTAGTATACGTTTATCTGTCTAAATGATATGCAATTTGTTTCAGTAGATTTTGATTTTCTTTCATACGTTTTTGTTGAAAAAGCTTTGATGTCCAATTTATTCACTTATAATTTGGTCGTGGTTGATTTCTAAAAGTGTGCCTACAGGCTGTCGTAATTGAATTTCTATCATGAACAATAACGTGACCTAATTAGAAATCTTTTTTGAATCACCAGTCATCATCTACACTTTTACGATTCTAGCGGTTTTCTGCTTGGTGTATGTATCAAAGCTAAATTTGTGACATACTCAATCGTCATCAGTAAAAACGCCGCTTCCATCGTCGTTCTCCATTTCGATGATCCACTTAAAATTTCGGTGCTTAAATGTCGTTTATCGAAAGTCACTTAATCAAACTATTTCAACGAAGTTATCGGAATGATCATCTACATTTCGACTTATTATACGACATTTTGGATCGTCAACCATTCCAGCATTTTCATTCAAGCATGCCCAGTTCAATAATTCTACTCGATAGTGGGAAACTTCACACAATGAAAATTGTTTATATTTGCCTCACTGTTGTTTCAGAATATTCCTTAACATATATCCGTAGATGTTGAAGAGGTATTGGTATGATTAGAATGAATCTTATTTAGAAAGTGGTTTTGTCTACTCCTTCACAGAATAAGACTGTTTATTGCATTCACCTTAATTGGTGAGGTTACCGGTCGATGGTGACCCGCTGGTGCTGACTATGGAGCTTACCGGATTGTTACGCCTTGCGCTGCGGAATCTGGATGAGGAGTCGGGAGCATAGTTGCTGGCGTCGCAGTTTATCGGGAGCGTGCCTGCCACCGTCTCCCAACAGCTGAAACTAGTGAACGCAACGCAACCAACGGATATCATTGAACTGGCGAAGGTGACTCTTCAGCCGATGACGCGAGCAGTAGCTCCGGTCGGGAGATAAATAACGTCAAGGAGAAGATTGAGGAGATGGAGCGTGAGATTCCAACAATACGAGTGAACCATAAAAGGAACGATAAATGTTACGTTTGGGGAGGGACAGATCATTGGAAGATAAACTGTCCAACAAGACGAAGACGCAGATATTTTGGACGTGACAACGAGTGTTCTTTCTATCCTGAGTATCTGGGGGCTGTTGCGTTAGTAGACGGAGGAGCAGTGTATGCGAGAGTGAACATAAATGAACGAGATTTAGTTTGTCTGATCGATACGGGGACAGCAGTATCGTTAATAGGCAAAGAGCAATGTAAGAGACTCAGGCCGTGTACATTAGCTGTCCACACTACAAGAGGCCATATATTAGAGGTGTTGGGGGCATCTAACAGCATCGTAAAAGTGAGAGATGCTGAGATAAATTTTCCGTTCGTGGTAACCACAAGCTTATCGAGACCGATATTAGGAGCAGATTTCCTAAGAGAAGTAAAATCGATAGTTGACTTAAGAAGCGATAAGGTGGTCACAAAGTATGGTTCACTGCCAATACACGAAAGTAGCGAAGTGGCTGAAATAAGAGTGGCAGCGGATGTCTCGTCGAATAAACCAAACATTGCCGAGTTATGCAAAAAGTACGCGAAACTGTTCACTGGAGATGGGGAGTGATAAGTCGTGTGGATTGAACGCTATATTAGTTTCCTAAGCTATTCCGGTAACCCGCAGTCTACAACTACACAGCGACTTGAACACCACAGAGAAGACACAAGTATGAGAGAAAATACTTTGTCCCAAGGTTCATTTTATTACAGAAAATATAGGGTTTTATTAATATATCTAAATGTCCTTGTGTCGCTGGAATATTCTGGAACGCTACTAAACATAGTAGCACTGTAGTAGCCAACCAATCCGCATGTGACGTTTAGCTACCTTGATATTTTTGGCCAAAACTCCAAATGAACGCTGATTGGACGAAACACTTCTTAGTGTTTCTTGATGCTTGCTTGTCTTTTGCGAGCGACTTCTGTATCACCCTGACATCTCCCCCATTTCAAAAAAGAAAACCTCTTCTCCGGGTCTACTTGCAGCTTGATACTGGTTTCGATATCTTGGTTTATCGTATGCCAGTATGCGTAACTTCGAGCCAACGCTTTCATCTTATTGATACCAGGATGACCGCTGTGGAATCGTCTCAGAATCTTATAGCGTAAAACTTTCGGGACAATAATTCTGTCACCAAACATAATACATGAGTCGACCATCATAAGTGAGTTCCGTCGGCGAAAATATTGTACCATCTCTCCTTGAAAACGACGGCTCGGCCACTTGGTGAGAAGATAACCACTAACTTCTCTGAAAGTCTTGTCACTTTCCGTGGCTTCTTTGATGGCCATCAACTGCGTCTTCCAAAACTCGATGTACTTCTGTTTCCGTCCCGATTGCTGCCACCAAAGTGTCTTCTTCCGGTTTTACTTGTGAGCCAATCAGTCTAGATAAAGCGTCAGCTTGTCCAAAATCAGTAGTGGGCTGATACTTGATCTTGAAGTCATAACCCAAGAGTGCAGTTCCCCAACGTTGCAGTCTATTTGCAGTGTATACAGGTATAACTTTCTTCGACTTGAAGATGGCTAGTAATGGTTTATGGTCAGTTAATAGGGTGAACTGACGTCCAAATATCATCTTGTGAAGTTTCTTGACAGCGAAGATAATCGACGATGCTTCCTTCTCGGTCTGACTATAGTTCCTTTCGGTCGTTGTCAAAGATTAGGCAGCGTGTGAGATAGCTTTATCAGACCCTTCAGGAAAAATGTGAGAGATAACTGCGCCCACACCATAGTTAGAAGCATCTGAAGCGACGACTATCGGTAGCAAAGGATCATAATGTGTGAATAAGAGATTGGAAGTCAGGAGTTGCTTGATCTTCTCGAAAGACGCTTGGCAGTCTGCAGACCAATCCCATCTTGTATTCTTTTGTAGTAGGTTGTTTAGAGGAGCACGTAGACGATTGAGATCGAGGAGGAAGGTACCATAATGGCTGACCAATCCTAAGAATGATCGTAGGTTAGTAATGTCCCTGGGTCTAGGCATTGTTTTCACTGCTTCAATGCTCTCTCGATCTGGTCGTCTTCAATCTTTATCTATTATGATCCCAAGGTACCGTACTTGCTGCATATAGAAGTCACACTTTTCCGCTCGGAGGCGAAAACCATAATCGGCTATGCGTTCTAGTACCTGGTCCAGTTTCTTCTGCAGGTCCATTTTTTCTACTCCCATAATTATGATGTCGTCTAAGTAAGCTGCTGCCCCTGGAATACCTTGTAACATGGTACCCATAATTTACTGGAAAAAAGAGGGCGTTGTCTTCACTCCAAAAGGTAGTCGGTTATACCGGTACAGACCTTTGTGTGTGTTGATCGTTAAGAGATCTTTGCTTTCATCAGATACAGGGATTTGTAGGTATGTGTCTGATAAGTCCGATCTCGCAAAATATCTGCCACCGTTCAGCTTAGCGAAGAGATCTCCCGGTAAGGGCAACGGATACTGGTGGGACTCTAGAGGTTCATTTAATCCCGTAGAGTAGTCTGCACATAGACGGACACTTCCATTCGACTTCTTGATCACCACTATTGGTGCAGCCCAATTCGAGAAGTTTACAGACTCGATAACACCCACTTGCTGAAGTCGTTGTAATTCTTGTTCAACTATTGGAAGAGCAGCATGGGATACAGGTCTTTTAGGTCGAAAAACGGGAGTAGCTGCAGGTTTTAGAGTTAGCACTGCTTTGGCCTTCGTACATTCCCCCAATCCTTCTTTAATCACGTTTTGGTGTCTTCGTAGCATGGCATTTTTCTGGCTCCACTCTGGGGTGTTGTCTGTTCTGATTCGTCTGCAGATACTGTTAATAGAATGGTCTGCTAATTTAAGTGTTTCTATAAGATCTAACCCAATTAAGTCGAGTGCTGGCCTCTTTGTAAGATATACTGTTGCATTTGTTGTTACAGTACCTTTAGAAACAGTGCATGGCAGTTGTCCAACAATATTTAACTTAAGCCCAGATGCACTGTGTGCCAGCTGTGTTGTTGGGAAAACTGTGAGTCTTTCACTGTTCTTCCATGTTTCTGGGCTGATTAGAGTAAAATCAGAAGCTGTATGAAGCTGAAGGCGAGTACAGTGTTTATTAGTATTCAAGGTTACGTACTTTTTTTGGTGGCAGCTTCGTGCTTTGTTATGTGATACCAATATTTTGTTGATTGGAGCACTATCTCTGTATTTCCTTGGGTAAGGTTTCAAGGAATGTTGTTTACAGTTTCTTCTCCTGCAGAGGTTTTCTTTATGCCCCTTCCAAAGGCACTTACCACAACAATGTTCTTTGTACGGGCAGAACCGTTTATAGTGCCAACCTCCTTATGCCCAGCATGGAGATGATGGTTTGTCGTTGTTATTTCGATAATTATGCGTACTGGAACCTTGAAAGACTTTCCTTTTGACCGCACTGACGTTATGGAAACAGTTACCGTTATCTACCATTGAGGTATCATGCTTAAAGTTTACTAACCTTTGGCACTCAGTAGTCACTTCCTGCAGGGTCATGTTAGGGCAGTGTTCGAGTTTGCTCAGGATTCCGGTTCGGATATCGGCATCCTCGGATGAACCAAAGCTGCAGATAAATACTAAGCATTTAAACTGATCTTCAGACATGGACGACAATCTGAACCTTTCACATTCTCGGTTCACAGTTCCAGCATGCTTCACTAAAGTCATCTCCTGGTTCTTTCGTTAACTTGAAGCACTGGTAACGGGTATTAAATAGAGATGATTGTTCTCCGAAGATTTGGGATAGGGTTTTGACTGTATCATCAAAACTAAAATCTCGTGGCCACCAGATTTTAGTTCTTCGGAAGAATGAAGTCGCTATAGCGTTCATGTTCCATAGTCCCAAGTTTTCTAGGAAGTATTCTGATTTTTGAAGCATCATCCAGTTTGCAAAGATCAATGTAAAACAAGTCTTCATACTTCTTAAACCACGACTCGAAAGTTACACCTGCTACACCATCAAAACTAAATTCATGGATGGCGTTAATGACTGAATCAATATGTGATACTTGTGATTCACTAGAAGCAGGGTTTCTCTCGGACAGGCAGAATTTCTGCATCAGGGTTTCCATGATTCTAACTTGCGACCCTTCAAACCTCTTTTCTTGACGCATCATATAGGCTTCTAATTGCTCCAAGGAAATATTCACTGTAGTTTTCATCCCCGTCGCCACTGATAAGTCGTGTGGATTGAACGCTTTATTAGTTTCCTAAGCTATTCCGGTAACCTGCAGTCTAGAACTACACAGCGACTTGAACACCAGAGAGAAGACACAAGTATGAGAGAAAATACTTTATCCCAAGGTTCATTTTATTACAGAAAATATAGGGTTTTTATAATATATCTAAATGTCCTTGTGTTGCTGTAATATTCTGGAACGCTACTAAACATAGTAGCAGTGTAGTAGCCAGCCAATCCGCACGTGACGTTTAGCAACCTTGATATTTTTGGTCAAAACTCCAAATGAACGCTGATTGGACGAAACACTTCTTAGTGTTTCTTGATGCTTGCTTGTCTTTTGCGAGCGACTTCTGTATCACCCCAGCAGGGAGCCGTATGGATTTTGTGACAAAGTAAAGTACGAAATCCCGATAAACAACAACCGAGTAAATATATTTGCAACACTTCGTGTCACGGTGCATTTAGAGGTTGAGGTCAATCGTCAGGTCCAGGAAATGTTGAAAGAAGGTATAAATGAGGAAGCGGACAGTTCACCGGTACTTTTGGTAAAGAAACCAAATGGAAAGTATCGATATTGTGTCGACTTCAGAGAATTGAATAATATAAGAGACATGAAACCTTGTGCAATACCAACAGTGGTGGAAACATTAGATCGACTACACAATGTCGCGGTGTTTACAGTGCTGGATTTACGGCCAGGCTATTGGCAAGTGCTCATAAAACAGAGCGATCGGAGCAAGACAGCGTTTAATGTACGTGATAAACAGTATCAGTTTAAACAAATGCCGTTCGGGTTGGCGGGTGCACCGTTCACGTTCAGAAGATCAATGACACTACTGCTCAAGAATCTAGATAATGTCGAGGTATATGGCGACGATGTAGTTGTGTACAGTCAGACAGAAACAGATCATGTCAAGCACGTGGAAGCGGTCTTAAAGCGAATTGACGAATTTGGACTTCGAATAATTAAGAACAGGTCGCCGATAGCGAGAAATAGCGTCACGCTGTTGTGACATAAAGTGGGAAATGGAGAAATAAAACCATTGCCGGAGAAAATTCTTACCATAAAAAATATTGCAGTACCTAATTCGAAAAGGAAGTTGAGACAGCTCCTGGGAAGACCGGCGTTCTACAGTCGGTTTGTCAAGAATTTCAAAGAAATAGCAGCACCCCTATATAAGTTGTTGTGCAACACCAAGTTTACGTGAACTGAGACTGCCGAACAAACGTTCAACCGAATCAAAGGCACGCTAAATCTCAGCACGGATTCAGAAAGCTCGTTTGGCTTTTGCCAACTTGTCACCTCAGGCAAAGGAGAGCTATTTGTCTATCAATTAAGGGTCAAATATGCTGTGCAGCAGTTCGTTCTGTTCTACATTATGGCTGCGAAATGTGGCCATTAATTATAGAAGATACTCGAAAGCTACTAGTATCCGACCACAGATGCATTAGAAATATTGCTGTTATCTGCTGCGATCATCGGGTAAATAATAGTGAGGTTAGACGCAGGGTATTAGGGGATGATGGTGAATCAGTTGATGAGGTTATGAATCTTCATCAACTGAGATTGTTGGGTCACGTGTTACGTATGCATGAACACTGATTACCACAACGTGCAATGTTGACTAGTGTTTGGAATGGTTGGAACGAAGTTAGGGGTGGCCAAACGAAAACTTGGCGTCACTCCTTTAAATCACTAAATTCTGGTGTGAGCCATTTTGGTAAATACAGACTACTTGGTTGGTGTCCGTGTCACTATCATAACCAATGGTTGGAGATTGTGGGTGACATAACTCAGAATCAATCGACCACAATGGTATGGGTGTATACACACTCTGTCTACCCTTAAACTGTGAGATTGAAATCGCTCCATATCTTTCTTTGTACCAACTAATTCTTTCTTTCTGCGCTATATCCTTACATAAAATCTTTCTTTTATATATTACTACGATTGAATTAACTACTTCTATGAATCCTGTGTTGGTCTTGTTGTGCTAATGAGGTATGGCGACATGAGCCGATACATGTATGTGCCTGATCCTATTTTGTAGGTGGCTGACTGACTGACTTATGCATTTTATTCGCTAGTTCAACATACTTTCACACTCAAGTAGTCAGTTGGGGTTGTAGCGCGTAGCAAATCGTTTATCAGTATCAGATTTCGGACACCGCCCCTTACAATATATATGGACTGGACTGGAAACACGTTGCTTTCGAGAGGTAGATTCATAATAGTCTATCACCTCATAGTAACTAGTATCACGTTCACTAGTCAACAGTGCATCCACTTATATAAATGATCTGATGTTGAAGTTTTGTTTGTCCGATTTAAGATGTTTGAAGATAACCAACTAATAGCCCTAGATCTAAGTTTCATCCTTTCCAAAACTCATTATCTGACTTTTTGACAGGAATTATATTCTTATAATTTTCTATCCGACATCACTGAGTGTTACAAATGTAGTATTCATTACACGACAGACCTTATTTAAAACTATGACATTCACACTAAGTGATAGAATAAGATCATGTAAATAAAAAATATTTATATAAGAAGGGATCTTTGTGGATATTATAGTAATTTCAATAGTTGAATTCATGAATCAATTGAAGCTAAACCACCATGACAAACATGAAAGCATTGGATAGCCATTTTGTCCTATTATGGGACTCCTCAACACTGCGTATCCACAATCCAGAGACTAATATGTCCTGGGGTCAAATCTTGCGAGGCGAGAAATCTTATCGATACTAACCAGTCATACTATTAGGTCTTACTCTGTTATAGACTCTAACGAATTATATATATATAATTTTCTAAACATATAACAATATATCAGAAGGGGTTTTGTGGAGATTTTTAGAAATTTCACTGATTGAAATCATGAGTCAATTGACACTAGACCATCATGGTTTAGTTGACTAAGCGCCTGGCATGAGACTGATAGGTCATGGGTTCGAACCTCACGGGGTGAGGGATCGTGGATGCGCACTGCTACTGAGGTGTCTCATACAAGGACGTAACGGTCGTCCAGGTTTTCCATGCTGATCTAGCTCCAATTGACTCATGATTTCAATCAGTGATATAACAATTTATTAACGACGACGACGACGGGAGGTGGGGAGAAGTAGAAAAAACAAGAGAGTAAAACAAAGAATTAATTTTTTTTCTCTCAATTTCTTCGTTGATTCGAATTCGATCGACTTTTTGAACTAGATTTTGAACTTCTTGATGATTTAATTCTTTTGCTTTTTTTTACATTTTCAATTCGATTTAGAATTGGTTCTGTATTATCATGTTCAATCATTGTTTGATTGCATGATGTTTCTTTATCATTTTTATATTGTTTTATTATATTATTTCTATAATTCATACACATTTCGTAGTATTTATAATGTGCTTCATCAGTGGCGAACTATTGATTGAAAAAAGAAAAGAAAAAAATGAGAAGAACAGAATGAAAATAACACAATCCTAAGTACATATTATTGAACAATAAATATCCAAACCAAATGAGAGAATGAGACTCTAATTTATGGACGAGTAAATCAGAAGCGTTTGAAGGATTTCATGGTGATGGTGCTAGTTTCAGCACCTGATGCCTACGGATACCTGCACAAACTTGGATGAGTGCATCATGTCGTTATTTATAAGCGTTATTTTGTGGACCCTACAACTGGAGTACACACTGACAATATTGAAGTTATGTGGTCGAAGCCAAAAAAGTTCTTACGACCCTATCATGGCTCGAGAGGTCGACTATTATAGAGCCATATGGATGAGTCCCTCTATCGTATGTACTATTATTTCAGTACCTCTGAACCTTTTTCAAACCATGATTAGTCTTCGAACCACTTTAATTCTTTGGGTTTTTTTGTAATATATATATTTCTGAAGGACATTCAAGATTCGTTCAAAGGTCGTCCATAGAGTCTCGTCAATGAGAGATATAATCAAAATATTAAAAAAAGTAAATAATGAGAAATTGAAGATCAACTAGAAACTAATCAACATCAAGATCTAAATGAATAAGCTATGAGTTATATGTGGAGAAATGTGAACATTTCATTACTGATGATAACGTCCAGAAAAGCGACGAAATCTTCAAAACCAAATGATTTAGTTTACTGAAGAAAACTTCATCTAGAATATTTAATAAAACAAAAACTGATGAGATTATAATTTATAGACGACCCATTTGGAGTTAAGTATGGAAAATGTTGGATTTTGACATGAAATTCATTCATTGATTTGGTTAAATACTGTTATATCCAAGTGAACATTACATTACGAGTAGCGTTTGAGATCTATTAATGGACTAATATTATTTATATATTCTTGTGGTATAGATATTCAGTAACTGGACTGTGTATATCCATATTCCCCCTGTTATAAGCTTCATTTCAACCTATAGATCATTAGTATATGGTTTATTGTTCTTAAGCTATGTTCAGTTTATTAACCAGTGCCTTCCACGTTCATAGCCACATTTTTGACCTTATTGTGTATGTTATTTCCTATTTTATGGTGTGTTGCAGTATGTTTGTTTGATATATAAACTCAGAATGTCTGAAATGAATGATTCGCGTAGTGGAGGCTGTAGTTGGCATTCTGGACTCAGCTGAACGGGTTAGGCGAACAACCAACCATTAGGACGATAGGCTGATCAGACTGGTTGGATGTCGTTAGTTTAGTACAGTACACGGGCGAATAAGTCATATTTTGATTGTCGAATAGATCACGTGATAACTAGCCCGGCATAAAGACATAACAAATACCATTTTGATATTACAGCTGGTGTCAATTCATGATGAAAATACTAAATCTAGTTCCCAAGTCTAACATTCGACTGTAAGTGCTAATCCTCATTCCTCAAACTATATTATAACTGTCATTTAACTTTAGTAAATAGGTGAATATTGTCAAGGTCATTTTAGCGTTTCTTAGAGGTTGTCCATAAGTTGTAGTCGCACCATTGAATTCAGTAGTATATTAAGGTTAATCTGTATGGATAAATGATCGTAGTCTTTTTAAAATTGACAGGTAATTTTTGTGTTTAACTGTAATATTGCCCATAAATGCCCTGTTATGGCCGAGGGTGGGTATAGTCCACTCTCCATCTCGAAATGCGCTCATATGGTCACGCGTACACAGCCACTGTCAGGGAAGTCCTACTCACTGTTGTTTACGAAATTGAGAGAACGAAAAGCGAATGTCCGGCGCTTCAACTGGCTTGATGGACAAGGAGAGTCCACCTAGGGCAGTTGGAAAACCCTGATCCCGAAACAATTTTGTACATGGGCTCCAAGATCCTAAGGAAACAAATGGCATATGAACCTATCGTTGATCACCGGCTACCATGGGACTGCATCTCGCGACGTTTGTCCACTGCCTTATGGATGACACCTATAGGTCAAAGGCTTGGGATGTGGCCCTCTAAGATAACCACCTGCTTTGGTCTAAGCACTTGGTTAGTATCACAGCCCATACTATAATCAAGTGATTTGTGTGGTGCACATGTATTCCGTGCCCCTTTGTAACAATATTTATGTGTTCAAATAAATAAAGTTCGTCAGTCAGTAACAACGTACAACTTCGTACGTAGGTACATCAGTTCGAGTTGCCACAGCACATTATCACAGTGATGCAGTTAACTCTAGAATTGCTCCAAAAATAGCTAAAAGTGTTCATACAAGTGTTTAAATAGGTTAACATAAAGACTTAGAATGAACTACAAACTCAACTAGAATATCTGATTCAGTATTTGCTTGTATCTACCATTTATATAAGATGTTTTGTGGTTTTTCAGCTGGTTGATCGTTAAAACAATAAAGATAAACTATCTAACGCATAATATATGTAAGTATTTATGTTGTCTCGTTAATATTTATGTTAAGGATCAAACTGATCAATCTCTTTTAAAGTATGTACACCTTCAGAGAACTTCTTATATATTTCTATTTAGTTGCAAAATTGAAATAATGTTATATAATAGATGGCAATGGAACCTACAAATGGGATTTTGTCCTATGCAGAACTCCTAGATTAGGTGTACTTACACTGAGTTTTAATGTTGACACTAAGACTGTCAACTAGTATCTTTCCAAAGGTACCTAACCTTTGTATACATCTGATCGTTCGTTTAGTTATCTGATTGTCACACACACACACAAAACAGTCGAACTTTAAAAGATAAGTTATTTGTTACAAGTTGATACTACCCAGCGAGCTGTCAAAAATTATACAGCACTGAATAACTATTCTATTCTCGGACAGTATTGTTCAACCCACAATCGAGCTTATAACATTTAGTTCACATGATAAGATATCTTTTGACCATTGAAATCCACTGTCAGTAATACACATTTGCAAATCTAGTCAATTCTCATGACTTAGCAACTAACTTTGGTGGTCCAGGTTCAGACTCCTGTTGAATCGCATGAGTGTGTAGTGGCTGATCCTATGTCAAGCCCACATAGCTTATTTTAGCCTCTGGACAGGTCAATTTAACGGTTCGTCTTGAGTCACGTTTTCAACTTGTTAATCATTTACTTATCAACCTTGACTGTTTCTATATGAGTGTATATATATGTGTGTGTACACTGCTTATCCGACTCATCATATGTCTGTAGCTTATTTTTGTGTGACTATAAATATTGATTAACGCTTGGTTAAATAGAGTTGACTTTTGTACATTCTCCACGCCCCATCATTTTGCTTCGTCGCTCTGAATGTCTGCCCAGATCAGTGAGTGTACAATATATATATATATATATATATATATATATATATATATATATATATATATATATATATATATATATATATATATTTATTTATTTATTTATTTAAAATCCATTCACGTATTTGACTTAGATAGTTCCGTTAATCACTAACGTAGATGAATTTGATAATTATACACGACAATTGGCAACATGTATGTTTCAACAGCAATCAATCATACGTTCCAACTGGAGTCAGATCTCCGGCCACTAAAAATGTTATCGAAATATATATCTTGGCTTTCCTCGTACATAATTAACAATTTAATTCGCGTTAGTGACATAAGGGAATTAAAATAAGTCCAATACGAGAAAGGATTTCGAATATGTATATTTCATACAATCGTTAATCTGGACAGACATTCAGAGGAACGATACAAATAGAAGAGAATGAAGTGAAATGACACACAGTGGGGAATGAGTGTAAGCCAACTCCATTTAACCAAGCCTTAATCAATAGTTATAGTTACACAAAAATAAGCTACAGCCATGTGATGAATAAGATAAGCAATGCCCACACATACACTCATATACAATCAGTCAAGGTTGTTAAGGGAATAAGTTACAAGGTCTAATTAGCCTGTTCATCCAAAAGCTAAAATATGTTATATCAGCTTAATTATCGGTATAAGGGTAGTGGAGATTATTAATTCATTGATTGAGTTCATGAACCAATTGATGTTAGACCACTATTAAAAACCTGGAAGCACTGGAAGGCCGTTTCATCCTATTGTGGCGCTGAGTATTGCGCATCCACACTCCCGCTCACGGGATTCAAACCTAGGGCCTTCAGTCTCGCGTGCAAACGCTTAACCTCTAGACCACAGAGATGTTCATCATCCAATAGTGTTAATCTCCACAAAACCTTTTCTGATATTAATAAACATATGCTCATTGGTGATTGACTTCATGAGGTTTATCCTGGAGTTCTAGTGACAAGCAATGACCAATGGAGTTCAACTAGATTTGTTATGAAATAGTAACTCATTAATGACAATGATGAATGATATCACTAATTAGAGAACAATGAATTATCAATCAGATCAATAACGCATTAAGCACTGAAATTAGCACCATAACCTTGAAATCTCTTTTAAACACCTTTGATTGACTCATTCATCAATTAGTTGTTATATTATATTAATCACAATGATGAATCATACTTACTTGAATTGTTTTCAATAAATCAATATAATTTTGTTTATATTGATTTTGTTTTTTTTTTAAATTTAAATATTTAAATTTTAAATTTTTTAAATAATCATTAAATAATTGATATTTGAATTTTAAAATGTCATTTAAATTTTTATAAGATAAACATTGAATTTGTTTTAAAGAATATTCTAGAATAAACCATGGATTCATTGAATAAGAATTCATAATAGATTGAACTTGTTCAATACGTTTACATTCAATCTCATTGAAATGATGATAAAATTTGTTTAAATTCATTAATTGAATTGGATAAAGTGTACGATTTAATTCTGGTGGGAATTTTAAAATATAAATTTTAGATGGATCTAATAATAAAGTGTGATCTAATGAAGAATGATCTTTTATCATTTGTATTAGATTATCTAAAGAAAGAAAGAGAGTGAGAAAGAGAGAGATGGAGAATTTTATTAAAACAAAAGAAAATGAATGATTTATGAAATCTAATTTAACGCGTGTTTCGTCTTTTTGTGAGATTCGTCAATTGTTCATATCCATGATTTACGATTTTACTTCATGTTAACTTCAGGTTATAGAATAAGTTATCCATGTATTGATAAATTATTTAGTGATGTTTTAAAGTTTTAAGAAAACAATGAAACCTTTTTGAGAAAAAAGTGAGTAGGATTTGTTATATCCGAGCGAAGATTAAATCACGAGTACTGTCTGAGACAAATTAACTGACTAATCTATCATACATTCTTATGATATAACTATTCAGTAATTGGATATAAATCGAATGTTCGAGTTCCCTAACTAGAGCCTTTAACCTAAAGCTCTAATCCATAAGATGGTGGAGTAACTTTAGGAAATGCAATCTCATGTAAGCTGGTTACCAATAATTGATTCATATGACATTTGTTACCTTAGGATATTAGAGCCCATGTGAATAATTGGTTTGGAATCAAGATGTTGCCACTCCCCTATGTTATATCCGAGAGAAGATTAAGTCACCAGTAACTTCTGAGACCTATTAATGCACTAATATTATTTATATATTCTTATGGTATAAATATTCAGTAACTAGACTGTGTATATCTATATTCCCCTTGTTATAAGCTTCATTTCAACCTACAGATTATTAGTATATGCTTTATTGTTCTTAATCTATGTTCAGTTTATTAACCACTGCCTCCCACGTTCATAGTCACATTTTGGCGTTACTGTGTATGAATGTTATTTCCTATTTTATGCTGCGTCGCAGTCTGTTTGATTGATATATAAACCCCAGTATGTGTGAAACAAATGATTCGATTCGATTTGCATAGTGGAAGCTGATATTGGTGTTCTGGACTCAAGTGGATGAACTAGGCGGATATAGGACCAATAAGGACGCTAGACTGCCTATACCAGTCGAACGTCATTGGTTTTGGCACAGTGCGAAGATTGTATAAGTCGTAATTTGATTGGTGGATAAATCACATGATAACTAGCCGGATATAAAGTCATAATAGGAATTGTTGAATTATTACTTCTTCAAATGATACAGATGTGAATTTAACAAGGAATTGAATGATTGAGTTTTCATGCCAGGGTCGTAACTACAGTGCAATGTGAATATTATTACAAACAAAATACTTTCCTAATAAAAACACTGGTAAGAGTAGGGAGAAATAAGCGTTTGAATAAATGAAAGATTCAAGATGTAAAAGAGAAGAGGTGAATGAATATATTGGCTTCATGAAAGTTCATTTCCATTTTAACAGTTCAGTTAATTATTATTTCAAAGTTCTTACAAGTTTTCAAATGACTGTATAATTTTCTGTGATCAACTCTATGTCTTACGATGTTCCTAGTTAATGTTCAATAAGACAAAATATTACAATTGATTGATCATTGGGTGATGATCAATGTTATGTATGTCAGGTCCTTCTTAGTAAAGATTGAATCCTATCGACCAATTTGTAATGTGGCCATCAGTCTAGGTGATTCGAAATAACGTGCACTATACAACTTGATCGATAAGATTCGATCTGCACTAAAATCCAACTGACATAAATGACATTGATCACTATTCAATGATCAATCAATTGTAAATACATTTCAGTCATACAGGAGGTCGGTCGAGGCCCGGATAGCTCAGTGGTTACGACTCTAACTGTGAAGCTGGGTGTCACGGGGTCGAATCTGCTAGGAAGCATCAGTCTACTCAAGATTACAGGTACACCTTGCTGACAAGTGCCAAGTAGCACGAAACCTAGGTCAAGGGGTTCCTATTGACTACTTCCAACCACCATCTTATCTCAATATGATATCACTTCAGCTTAGTACGTACACAGAAATAGATGTCTGGGTATCCGTAACACATATATTGATAATTTTATTTCATAATACTAGTGACTTCCCCACTCGTGTTTAGGTTGTGGGTAACAGCTGACTGAATGTTCTAGGAATTCAGATTCGACAATATTGACAATTATCAGTCAGAATTCGTTCATACTCACATTTATAAAGTTTGTGAATTTCAAATGGACATGTTCGAATTCTGTACAATTTGAAACCTACAAGGTAAATCAGTTCCATCAAGACTACAGACATGTTTAGTTTATGAGTAATGGTTGAGTTGAAACTTAGATTAAACAAGGTTTCTTGATGACAACACATACAACCAACAATAAAAAAAAGTTGATTGATTCACATAACTAACCATCAGATTTAATTGTGATCGTCGATCCTGTATCATCTACAATAGTTTTATTATCCAATTTATTCATTAGACCATATTCTTCAAGATAACGTGCTCTTGATAATTCAGCTCTTATTGCTCTACCAGGTTCCATTTCTTCCCAAGCTCTTTTTAAAGCTTTAATTTCTAATATTTTATTATCCATATTAATGATTTTAATGTCATTCTAATAAAATAATAAGAAAGTAGAAACATTCTATAAACATAAAAGCAGGCAAATCAACAACATTCTATCCTTTCACTCAATTTCTATTCTCCAGAATTAATTATAAATAGTATTGCTTAATGATTACTCACTTACTTACTTACTTACGCCTGTTACTCCTCGTGGAGGAGCATAGGCCACCGACAAGCACTCTCCATCTAAACCTGTCCTGGGCAATCCTTCCAAGTTCTTTCCAGTTGTTATTCATATCTGTTTATATTTCCCAACATAATGTGTTCTTTGACCTTCCTCTTTTCCACTTCCCTTCAAAACTCCAAGTTAGCGCTTGCCTCGTGATGCAGTTTGGTGATTTCCTCAATGTATTTCCTATCCACTTCCAACGTCTTTTCCTAATTTCTTCGTCATCTGCAATCTGGTTTGTTCTCTCACACAATAGACTGTTGCTGATGGTATCCGGTCAATGGATGTTGAGTATATTGCATAGACAACTATTTATAAATACTTGTACGTTTTTGTTGATGGTTGTAGTGGTTCTCGAATTTTGAGCTCCGTATAGTAGAACTGTGTTGACGTTCGTATTGAAGATTGTGACTTTAATATTGGCTTACAGACAGTTGTTTTGAGTTCTATATGTTTTTCAACAGCAGAAATGCGGCCCTTTATTTGCCGATCCTCACATTTACGTCTGCATCGAATCCTCTTTGTTCATCGATGATGCTTCCCAGGTATATGAAGGATTCCACATCTCCCAGAGTTTCACCATCAACTGCAGCATTACTCTGAATGAAAAATCTATTGCATGATCATTGTAGGTAATCTGAAAACGTTTCAATTGCTATGGTGAAGGCAACAATAAACAATCAACGTTAGGTACAAATAACAAAAGGAAGAAACAACCCAGTTCAATATGACAGTTATACCAACCAATAAAACGAGAACTCATGATCTCAAATATTAAGACTACTATAATATCTATAAAAACCCCTTCTGATAATAATCAATATACGCTCACTAGTGACTGGTTTCAAGAGATATTTTATGGAGTTCTAGTGAGAAGCAATGACCAGTGAAGTTCAACCGCGTCTGTTGTGAGATAGTAATTCACTGAAAACAATGGTGAATATGTCGCTGAATTTCTTGGATTAGTTGAAGTTAGACGGTAAGACTGTTGGATGCTGGTCGGCTCGGTGACCTAATGGCTAAGCGCTCGCGCGCGAAACTGATGTGTCCTGGGTTCGAATCTCGCGAGGCGGGATCGTGGATGTGCACTGTTGAAGAGTTTTATGCTATGACAAAACGGCCGTCCAGTATCCCCATGTTTTCTATGATGATCTAGATTCAATCCACTTATGATCTCAACTATTAAAATTATTATAATATCCACAAAACCCTTTCTGATATTAAAACGAGAACATGCTTTTTTCAACTGACTAGTTAGATAAAACACACAGTATTAGCATCCCGAACTACAATACGATTGACATTTATAAATGTATACTTGAATTCATAAGTCAATTATATCTAGACTACTATGGAAAACATGGAATTACTGGATGGCTGTTTCATCCTAATATAGAACTCCTGAGTAACTCACTGACGATAATAGTAGACGATGGGGTAATTTTGTGAATTGGTTAAAGTTAGATATTTGTAATGTTCTACTAACAACTATGCATCTGTAGTGACCTACTTTTATCAAGAGAACGCGATTGGTTTAATGAAAACAATTATTATTATAATCAATTGTACCAATGATTGTTTTACTGTGCTCGTTTGTTTAACTGTGCTAAAGATAGCCATATTGCTCTTCCATTATTCTCCATTACTGTTTCACGGTTCGTGACTCCGTTCGCACATACTTTCTTCAGCCGATTCCGCTTGTACCTTTTCTTAGCACGATCTCGGTATTCATTCGATACCACGAGATCACCAAAGAATAAATTTGGTTAAGTTCAACCTTCGCCTTCTGATTCATTTGGTGCGTGTTTCTTTGTAGTGGTGTTCATTGTCAGTTGGGACTCGACACCACGCTACACATTTATTAACATGAAATAAAATTGACTATCTTTAGAAAAATTGTTATAAATAAACAACAGATAAACATCGAAATAGTTCCACTTAAGAAACATACTATTTCTAAGAATAAATCTTACAGAATTATTACATATTATTCTCATTTTCCAATGAGCTTGATTAAAATCAATTTTTGCTGAAGTACCACGTGTAGAACCAGATTTTTGACCAGTGATACCAATTGTTTTGTTTCCAGGTGATTTTGTTGCTGATTTAATAGTTCTACTGTCAGAACTTTTATCAGCTGAAGTATTTCGAGAAGTTGTATTATTTACTGAAAAAGTAAATCAATGAATGAACGATGAATAAGACAAATGATATTCTATTATTGTAGTATTTTCTTATAATGAAGTGATGCTTAATTGGTTAAACCACTTATATCACTATTAATAAGTTGAGATACACTTTCTAAAAACTTGGCCAGTCTACAATATGAAACCAGAGACCAAATATATCCTGGAGACTGAAGGCCCTGGGTTCGAATCCCGCGAGAGGAATCGTGGATGCGCACTGCTGAGGAGTCTCACAATAGGACGAAACGGCCGTCCAGTGCTTCAAGGTTTTCAATGATGGTCTAACATCATCAATCGGTTCATGATCTCAATCAAAACTTAACAATCTCCACAACCTCTATACTGATATATCCTGGAAAGTTGAATTCCCACAATAATTCGAATAGTAATTGACACAAACCTATAGTATATACATGTGTCAGGGCTGACCGAAATAGATGTGTGCAAGGAATTTTTTGGTCCGATGAATAATGCACTGACATACAAGAGTCTATTCACACATCCATTCATCGCTTGTTATGAGATCTTTCAACAGCTAAACATATTGGAATCCTTCTTCACCTTCTTCATTTCAGAAAGCTAGGTCGTTTCACTAGCATATGCAATGTGATTCAAAGCCGAGTCCGTAAACAAATATTTAGTAAATCAGTTACCTAAACATGAAAAAGCTTTTTTTGATTTAAATGATGTAATTATAAGCATTTTTTAGACAAACATGTCTGCAACTCTGGACGTTCTTACTTTTTCATCCAATTTCAGAGTTGAACTAGACAATATGATATTAGTTGATTTACAACTTATCAATTTTGAGCGATTTTCATATTTCTGAGCTTGATGTTTAGATCATGAAGCTTTCATTGGTTTTTTAAATATCCACATAGTACAAACTTGAAATATTCATTACATCATCTCGTCTACAGAATGCGATAAGATTGAAACTCATTTTCTGTCTCACAGATCTCCAAAATACCAAGTCAGTTTCAATGTGCTGTCATGTTAAATGACTGTATTATATGTTTCTAACAGTCGGTCAACCCAACTATTCAGTGAGAGAAAAAACAAACTGACTAAGAAGCTGTGTCATCATCTGGTCCATGATGAGGGCGTGGGTTCGAATCCCACCTCCAACACATACTTAGGCCCCCAAATACGCTCGTACGGCTTAGAGTGAGGAGAGTAAGCTCTCCCTTTTGAAATGCTCTCAAGTGGCCACGTGCATACAACCACTGTCAGTGAAGTCCTACTCCCTGCCTTCTGGTTGCATTGCTGTTGTTTACGAAATTGAGAGGGCGAAAAACGAATATCCGGTACTTTAACCGGGTTGGTTTACTCGGGAGTTTGAAGACCATGGTTATAAATCAGTGGCGTACATGCGTTCCAGGATCCTGAAAAAACATATGGTGTATGAACTAATCGTTGGTCACCGGCTACCATGAGAATGCATCTCCTTACTTTGCTCCACTGCTTTGTGGATCAGACCTTCAGGTCGAAGGCTCTGGGCGTGGCCCCATAACAAGACCACTTACTTCGGTTTGGGCACCCAGGTAGTATCACATCCCTCACACAAGTCAAATGAGATTCGTGTGGCGCATATATATCAGCTGTTCTCCTTGTACCAATGTTTGTGTTTAAATAAATAAATAAATAAGCTGTATCATCAAATTCAAAATAATTTATTAACAAACTTTACGTATTTATAGGTGCCCAGATTGATACAGGCAGGGATATATGTGCAGTTACCGTGGTTACATGAATGACCTATACTTATAGCTGACTGATCATCTGCATATCATTTCATAAAAGCTGAGAGTCAGAGAATAAGTTATACAACACAGACAACTAAACTAACTAAGCTTTTCTCAGCCATATGTTAGTTCGAACAAAACCAGTTTCATTTGTAATGAGTAATAGATGAAAACAATAGTAGAATTTCACTGGTCACATAATGTCATACGATTTGAAAGATTTCAGACTGATTATTGGAACCTAAGACTATTAAATCACTTTTGATATTAGAGGGTTAGGTGAAATCTACAGGAATCCCTATATTTCATATACATTTCATACTAGGTGAAACGTATCAGCAAGGCATGTATCTACACGTTTAAAGAAATAGATATTTACTCTGAAACACAAAGCTGCACTAACTAGTATCACAGTCAAAAAAGTTGCCACTATTGTAGAACGTATAAATCAAATCTTCAATGAAAATGTTAGAATAAACATGACATACTCATTGATCAGTCAGTGTGTATATTCTGGTTATACAGAAAATCAATCACGACTCAAATAGCCACATTAGTAACATCTCTATGACATTGAGTGATATGGGTTCAACTCCAGTAAAAGAAATGCGAATCTTCGACATTGTGAGTATGTATTGATGAAGGATAGTACATAGCACTGGGAATTATATCTAATACCTCTTCTTGATAACATTCTACGACCTAACACTAGAAAAATAGGGTACTTAATGTCAAGTCACCCATAATAATGATCAAATAATCAACACTTGTTAGGGACGATAGATCCCCAAAACTCATATTTTGTGATTTTATCATATCGATTAAATGTTTAAATATTTGAATGGCAGTCAATTGATGAGCTTATCGATTAAATGATTAAATGGCAGTCAATTGACGAACTTATCGATTAAATGATTAAATAGCAGTCAATTGACGAACTTATCGATTAAATATTTGAATGGCTGTCCATTGATGAACTTATTGATTGATGTTTAAAATTTTTTACCATGACAATATCGATTATCAATATTTGTATAAATACGCTTGACTTGTGTACCTGATTGACTTGACTTGATCTGACATGACTTGGTATCTGCTGGTCGCCTGTAGAATACACTTCTACGTCTTACCAAGACTTCTTGATCGAGTTAGCTGAGTCGGGGACAACGGACCAGAATAGCCCATCGAATCTCTGAATCCTGATCTTTCGTTCCGTTCCGAATAAGCCGAATCAGTAGTACCATTCAAGCTTAATGAACCCAACACATTAAAACTAGACAAAAATGAGTTTGATAAATCAGTATCATAGGTGTCTTCGAATCATTGATTGTATATCCTGGAACAACCGAGTAAGTAATCCAGTTGTTAGGAAACGAGGACTAGATAAAGATGGCAAATCAATTGATGAATTGGTGAAACTTCATCGGTTGAGATGGCTGGGACGTGTGTTACATATGCCCGACCACCGATTGCTCTAACATGTGATGTTTTTTGATGTAGGAGTAGGTTGGAAGAAAGCTAAGGGTAGCCAGAACCAAACATGACACATATCTATGAAGTCACTGACAAGTGGACTGAGCCATATTGGTAGGTGTATACTACCTGATTGGGATCCACGAGATGATAGTAACTGATGGTTAGAGACCTTGAGTGACATGGTTCAAAATCGTTTGCAATGGTGCGGGTGCATCCATTCTCTATGTTCTCCCAAATTATAATCTTCTGAATTCTTCGTGTCCTTTTATTTTTTTTTCTCTTTGCAACTTTATTTCACTGAGTTGTACTCCCTGAATAACATTTTCAAACCGTAATGTTTCCGATTACTCCTTATACTTTTACTACTTCTACCAGTATGGGATTTGACTGGACAATTTTATGTGTGTGCTGATGTGGTATAGCAACTCGAACTGATGTACTTACGTACGTACATACGTACGACGTTCTACGTTGTTGTTGACTGACTGACTGATCAATCAGTGTATAATAGCCTTGATCAAACCATGGACAATTGTTTTCATAAAACTTACTTAAATTATCTGCTTCAATATCAAATAAACAAACAAACAAACAAAGAAAGAACAGATAAAGTAATCAATAATTAACCTTGACACTCTTCAAGTTTATTACAACGCTGTTCTTCTAAAAATGCCCAATTACTTATACTCAATGGCCAATTTTTACCATCTACATAAGCTTCAATCCAATAATATCGTTCTTCTTCTTTTTCTCCTTCTATTTGCTGACTATCTGATCTATGTGAATGTGGTGAACTGGAATTGAATTGTTCATATTGATTTGATCGCTCTATATTAGCACTATTAGTACTACTAGAACCTCGACCACTTCCTGTTGTACTACCACCAGTTGAACTGCCAGAACTACTCTAAATTATGAATTGATTTGTATAGAGGAAACATTGTTGTTAATTATTCAAAAGGAATAGAATACTAAGTAAAGTTATCAAGTAAAGTTATCAAATATATTGGAAAATAATGGCAACCTGTTCAAACGTTTAACTCCGCCTGGAGCCCCTCTCGGGCTACTGCTGATCCCAAGCTCGAATAAAGGAGGGTTGGGCATGGGGTTAGCAACCCTATCCCGTAGAAAACGAACTCGCTAAAAATAATTCAAACCATTTAAACTCTGCTCTGAAAGTTAGAATGTCTTCATTTAAAGTTTTTAGTTTATGTTTAAACGTTCGCATTACCTATTTTCCAATTGTACAATATCTTTCTAAATAACTATTCTGTTTTACATTTGTTTGAAGTGAATAATTATGATACCCAAATGTATGTGCTTACTCAGTATTATGAAAGAATTAAAACCCATCATAATGGTAAATTGTCGAGGAAGGTACTGAGTTTAATTTCAAATATGAATATAAACATTAGGCTGCTGGCTCATCCAGCTGACGAATCTCAAACAGGATGAAACTCGCTTCCTGTATTTCATTACTACATATAAATATATTTATTATATACTGTTGTTGTTCTTTCGATACAACGCCGTAATTACTAAGATGACCGTACTGATTATTTTTCTCAGTAAATGTTTGAAGTGGTCGGAGGTAGTCGACTGGAAGCTCTAGAACCAGGCTTTGTGTTATTTATATCTCGTTAACAAAGAATACCTGTAACTCTTAGTAAACTGGTGTCCCTTAGTAAACTTGATCGTGCGTCATATAACCTTACAATCTGAGACATCACTACTGAGATGTTTACAGTGCTCATTCTAGTAGAACTTATTATTCCTAAGGGATTAGAACCCAATTCAAAATTTACTGAAATAAGAGACTCCAACTATTTTGTCTTAGTTTGTCACTAACCAGTTGTGTATAGACACAACCTTAAACTGGATAGATCCCAGAATCTTGACGTTTGGCAGCTAGTATAATAATGCCAAGTCATTGAATGCACTAATCCAAATTCTCAGTTACAAATAATATGTGACATAATATGATCCCTAACCAATGTCACTAGTGAGCTTATAATTCATTCTCAGGTTGAATGGTCTAAATAATCTAAGTCTACCATTTTAAAGACTTCTAGAAATTCATACCGAAACTACTCATTAGTAAGCATAAAATTATTATTAAGTAACTTCTAGTTCTCATGAAAATTAGCTTCTAACTGTATAAAAACTCTGGAAGCTAATATTTGAAGAATTAGTTCGTATCACTCTAGTATAAATCTATTACTTAGTTGATTCGGTATTGTTTATTTGTATCTTACCATTGATGTTTAGGATTGCAGTTGATCAGTCTCTTGTTGACATATGTGCATACTGTAGGGATTGTCTCGATATTACCTTACTGCACAAGCATTATAAGTAAAGTTGGATGATGGCTGATAATGGAATCCAGGGAGCGCGTTTCGTCCTATTTGAGACTCGTCAACTGGACGTACCTGCATCCTAGAGTTGATATTTACTCCGAGACTCATACTTAGTACCGTTCGCTTCAAACGTCATCGCGTTATCCTGTATTCTACTGCTCGTCACCATCCGTCTTTGCTTATTACTTAGTTGGTTTATGGAATTTTCGAAAAACCTTGATTGTAAGTTTTCATTTGCCTAGTCAATTGTTACTTTATTCTTTACCATTTGTAAATGACAGCTGATTAACAATCAATGTGTTACGCAGCTTTACATCCATAACTATGTCACTATTTCATTATATAAAGTTATTATTTGTAATGAGTTATTTTTTTTCTGGTCATCGTATTTTTAGAGAAAGAAGCGCTGGAAGTGAATAAGACACATATTGAGGAAATCACCCAACTGCGTCACAAGAAAAGTCCTCATTTGGAATCCTCTAGGCCGAAGGAGAAGAAGAAAACCAAAGATTACATTATACCGAGAAATGGAGACAGACATGAGAAGAATTTAAAAAATTGAATAGGACTAGAAAGGAAGGCTCAGGACAGAGTGAGTCGGAGAATGCTAGCCGGCGGTCTATACTCGATTGGGAGTATAAAAGATATCAATAATTGAGATCATGAGTCAATTGAAGCTAGACCACGATGAAAAACTCGGAAGCACTGGACGACCGTTTCGTCCAATTGTGGGACTCCTTAACAGTGCACATCCACGACCCTGACTCGCGGGATTCAAACCCAGATCTGACTTCAATTGACTATTTGCAATCATTCATCAGACCTTCTAATGTTCTGTTTTTTTTTGTAAGGTTGGAAACATTTGAATATTCTATGAGATTAGTAACCATGATGAATACAATGTCATAACTAATGGATTGATTACATAAAATACGTAATTATTTTCATTGATAGAATTTATTCAACTTACTCCTGGTTTCATATTTTTCTTCACTGATGCAGATCTTCTTGGAGATACTTTAGTAGTATTCAATTTATTCAATATAACTTTTGAATTGGTCACATCTTTTATACTTAACTTCACATTGTCACCTTTATTCACTTCTAATAGACGTCCTGAATTAGATGTTTGACTATTTCTGTCATCTATTATTGTATCAGCTAATATAATATAAGCAAAAATACATGCTGCACCAAAACCTTCAGCAGAGATCATTTCTTTATTGCCCATTTTAATGCATAAACGTGTATAAACATTTGGTACAGATAATCGTAAATGAACCGTTATCAAACTATCATTAGAAGCCTATTAGTAAATGAGAAAAAAAAGAAAATATAAATTCTTAGAATTTTCTGACTGAGATCATGAACCGATTGATGTTAGACCACCATTGGAAACCTGAAAGCACTGGAGGCCGTTTCGTCCTATTATGGGACTCCTCAGTGACAGTGTGCATCCACGATCCCGCTCGCGAGATTCGAACCCAGGGCCTTCGGTCTCGAGCGCGAACGCTTAACCTCTAGACCACTGAGGTGGCCGGCATGCGACGGTGTTAATGTCCAACTTCAAAAAATCCACGAAATCGCGCGACCATCTTCCATTGTACTGCGACAGATACCTGTATCTACCCAACATGGATTAGCTCCACTGGTTACGGCGAATAAGTGGTTGTTTTCTTCCAGATTTTCCATGGTGATCTAGCTTCAATCGACTCATGATCACAACTATTGAAATTGCTATCATATCCATAACAGCCTCTTCTGGTATGAATCAACATATGCTCACTAGTGACTGGTTTCAAGAGATATTTCATGGAGTAGTAGTGAGGAGTAGTGACCAGTGAAGTTCAACCGGGTCAGTTTTGAGATAGTCACTCACTGATGACAATGATGGACAGTGGTGAGATTTCGTGAATTGTTTGAAGTTAGACATTAACACCGTTAGGTACCAGTCGGCTCAGTGGTCTAGTGGTTAAGCGTTCTCGCGTGAGACTGATAGATCCTGTGCTTGAATCCCGTGTGCGGGATGATGAATGTTCACTATTGAGGAGTCCCATACTAGGACGAAACGGCCATCCAGTGCTTCCAGGTTTTCTATGGTGGACTCATGAGTTCAACTCTAATTTTATTTAGCTTATTCGATAACTGTCAAAATAATTATCTTTAATTATAGGTTGTTATCAGATAGAGAACCATTGAAATCTACATAGCACTTAACAATCGTTTCTTCATAACTTACTTCTGCATAGAAGTGAAGAATGACGCTATATGAGATTGATAATAGGAACTTCAAATTACATAAACTGGAATATATACCCTATCATAACAATCATCATATGTTTACTAGTAATTCCTGAAATTCGAATAAGAATCTATAAGCTATAGAATTCAGGAATTGATTGAATTTAGAAATAGAAATCTTTACATCTAAACTTAGTAGTCTAAAGGTTTGAGGTCTCCTATATTCAATCCAAAGTCAGGGTTATGAACATGTTGTGTTGATAAATCACATACTAGAATGAAATAGTTATGTCATGAATTGACTGAAGTTAGATATATCAATGTTTAAACCTAAACCTCGTAGTCTAATAAAGGTTCTAGATCTCTTATGTTCAATCCAAAGGTAGAGTTATGAACATACTTTGTTAATCAATCATAGACTAAAATGAAATAGTTGTTCAGGGTTAACTATTTTTAAAAATAATCCCCTAACAACAAATAAGGTAGTTACTATATAAATAAACTTACTATAATTCTACGTCGAAATAATAGATTTTTCGGATTTGGTTCATAATAATCTTCTAATTCAATAATATGAAAATTTGACCATAAATTTAATGTTGTATTTAATGGTTTAGGTAGATTTTCATTACCAATGATACCTGGTCCTAATAATTGTAAATTCCATTTACCATTTGGTATAGGTGTTATATGATTAGTTACTAATCCTAATAAACTATATCCATGTTTATTTTCTTTAAGATTTAACCAACTATAAGGATATTCAATAGATGGATGAATGATTTCACCTATAAAGAAGAAAACATACATACATAGAAAGGGGAGTGGTAAAGTGGATAGTTTATGATATTTTTCTTGCTTTTAGATGTACTTTATATGACTAATCACTGCATATCATATCCAGGATTTATGATCCAGAATAAACAACTAGATTCAATCAGTTAGTCAGTAACAAAGTAGAATTTTGTACGTATGTACATCAGTTCAAGTTGCTATACTACATCAGCACACACATACAATTGTCCATCCAAATCCTATAGTGGTAGATGTAGTAAAAGTATAAGAAGTAGTCGGAAACATTACGGTTTGAAGATGTTATTCAAGGAGTATGATACAGCGAAATAAATTTAGAAAGAAAAAAAAGGACATGAAGAATTCAGAAGATTGAAATTTGGGAGAACACAAGGAATGGATGCACCTGCACCATTACGAACGATATTGAACCATGTCATTCAAGATCTCTAACAATCGGTTGATATCTTCTCGTGGATCCCAACAAGGTAGTTTACACCTACCAACATGTCTCATTCCACTTGTCAGTGACTTCATTTTTTAGTTTGGTCGGCCCTAGTTTTCTTCTAACCTACTCCTACACCATAAAACATCACACGTCGAGGCAGTTGGTAGTTGGGCATATGTAACACATGTCCCAGTGATGTCAACCGATTAAGTTTCACTACTTCATCAATTGATTTGCAATCCTTATCTGGTCCTCGTTTTCTAACAACTGGATTACTTACTCGGCTGTTCCGGGATATACGATCAATGATTCGAAGACACCTATGATCGGATACTAGTAACCTACGAATATCCTCAACTCTTACAGGACATGTTTCACAATGAAGTTACAAGTGATCACTCTCCATGAGTCCGATGTATAAATCAAGGAGAGGAAAGGAAATCACATATTTTCTAGTTCATAGGTCAAGTGCCTATTCGTTCACACTCAGTGAACAATCATATTTTACATTCATAACTACAGATCAATATCACTGATTGATATGAGATAAAAAGCTTTAGAAAACTATACAACTTTATGTATTACATTTATTTCATCATTTTGAGTAATACATAATCATCGTTCAATTCGTTATCCAACAGATGATCAACAGTGAACATGATAGTGCTAAACTACCGATTCACAATCTAATACTTCATTATTTCCGATTTCACTCAGTTGAGAATGGTCATTTATTGATTCTATGTTCAAGGGATTAAGATATCACCTAGGATCAGCAAACGGAACGAAAGACAGCAAGAAAACAACAGGACAAGCTAGGCTATTTACCTGTACCTCAGCGCTGTTAACTAAAAGGAGAAGGCAAGCCGCAATCGGAAAAATATGTACTTCACAAGGAGCCCGAAAGAACGCAACTCATGCGTATATATACAATTCACTTGAAAATTATAAGAACTAAGATAAATACTGAAATTACTTCGAATAATCAGAGTTTTTTAGAAACATCTGAGAGAATTCAGAGAAAGACTTTATTTTTTCATTATCCTGAGTGGACAACTACCAATTTTAGTATGTTTTCCAGAATCTCACATCTAATTACATTAATATCCTTGTACTGTGTTCACTACATCATCAAGCAGGAATTAGATCCGATGTTTCACAGCGTGAAAGCTGCTCGAGTACTTACATTTCCCCAACTCTGTACATAAACTAAGCTCCAAAGTTAAACTTCTTTCATATTTACTATTCGTTCGTCGTTCAAGAGTATAAGAGTTTTGGGGAGCAGGAAATAATAAGGAAATTTGTGCAAAATCGCTCGAATATAAGATGTATCAGAATGACTGAAAATTAGATAACGCTAGATGACTCGATAGTCATGAATATGAATAAAACTATTTACCTGTGTCCCCTGATTTTCAGTGATATTTTAATCTCAGAATGGGTCTTGTGGAGAGTTTTTTTTTAGAAATTTCACAGGTTGAAATCATGAGTCGATGGAAGCTAGACCACCATGGAAAACCTGGAAGCACTGGACAGCCGTTTCGTCCTAGTATGTAACTCCTCAGCAGTGTGCATCCACGATCCCGCACCACGCGGGGCTCGAACCCAGGACCTACTGGCTTCGCGCGCGAGCACTTAACCACTAGACCACTGAGCCGGCATCTAACGGTGTTAATGTCTAACTTCGACTAGTCCACGAAGTTGCGCCACCGTACGCCATTGTCTTTAGTGAGTTGTTATCTCACGACAGACTGGTTGAACTCCACTGGTAACGGCTTCTCACTAGAACTCTAGGAGTTTTTCCTGAAGTCAGTCACTAGTGAGCAGTTGATTATTATCAGAATGGATGCCCACTGCTGAGGAGTCTCATACTAGGACGAAACGGCAGTCCAGTGCTTCCAGGTTTTCCATGGTGGTCTAGCTTCCATCGACTCATGATTTCAACCTGTGAAATATTTTAGTCTATTGGTTTTCAGTGTCAAATCTTATCAACAAGTAAAGTTAACCTTTATCCAATAGACTAGCTGTTTCGTATAGAGTAGCTGACTTTGGGATACGGTAAACAGGTTAGAACTGGATTTGTATTGGTGTCCAGTCATAAAGTTCAACTGAACATTTATTACTCTAAAATCTTGAATATTATTCATCAAACTACTTAAAAGCTACTTCTTATTTTGTAAACACATGTTGTCACTTTAATTTGTAGGTTAGGATATATATATATATATGAGTTTTTCGTCATGAATTGACATCAGCTATAATGATAAAACTTTATTTAGCCAAATGGATAAATGAATTTAGCGCCAAAATCCGAAACCTATTATCTTATACATGATTGGTTTGTTGATAAATTTTAGCCTCGCCGTTTTATTAGTTATAACCCCTCAATTATCACGTTTTGTATGAACTGATTGTATGTTAGCATCAGGTATTGAAATTAGCACCGTAACCTTAAAATCCTTCAGACACTTCTGATTGGCTCATCCATAACTATATACTACTCATAAGTAGTTACTTATTGTACGTATTTGTAAACTTACCATTATCATTATTGATCAATAGGATATAACTATCCGGTATAGTAGTTTTTAAACGAAATGAATATTGAATTTCTTCTTCTTCATTGATTACTATGCTTTCATTTTTTAAACATTTTGATGAATAAATACAATCACGAAATAATAAATGAATCCAATCTTTATGTAATGAATTATGTAATTGATTCATATGATGTAATTCTGATCCTGTATGATGCATTGGACATGGTGATGGTATATCACCATAGTTACCAGAATATTCTTTAATACTTAAATAAGAATTCATATCTTTATATAATTTATTTTGTATACTACTACTATTATTATTAATATTATCAGTAGTAGTTTTGGAATTAGTAAGAATTAAGTTTTCAATTAATTGATTTCCCGCCTCACATTGTAAATGACCTTGTTGTAATACATTTAAACAAGACATCCAACCAATTGATAAACGTTTAATTCTTAATAATGATCGCTTATGCATTAAATGATTATTATCTATATTTGATTTATTCCGTGAATTGATGATAGATAATAAAGTTTCTATTAGATATTTGGTTTGACTTAAACGTATTGTATTTCGAATACGACAACCACGATAGAATGATTGTATACGTACTATAGCAATTAATAGATCAGGATTAATGATTGGTTGATTCCAACGATTAATAACTGTTTCTTCAATTGGATTACTATAAACAAAAGTAAATCAATGAAATAAGAAAAAAAAAGAAGAGTTATTGGTGAAACTATAATCGAAGGATGAACATATGCGCCACACAAATCTCATTCGATATGTATGAGGGCTGTGATACTGCCCAGGTGCCCTAACAGAAGCGAGTGGTTTTATTAGAGGGCCACACACAGAGCCTATGACCTGAAGGTCTGACCCACAAGGCAAAGGAGCATCGTAAAGAGATACAGTCTTATGCTAACCGGTGACCAAAAATTGGTCCATACGCCATTTGCTCCTTCAGGATACTGGAGCCCATGTGCACCATTGGTTTGGAATCCGGTTAAAGCACTGGACACTCGCTTTTCGTCCTCTCAATTTCGTAAACAACACCTCCGCCAGGAGAAGGCAGTGAGTAGGACTTCCTTGGCAGAGGCTATATACGCGTGACCATGTGAGAGCATTTCGAATGGGAGAGCGGACTCTCCCCACTCTCGGCCGTACCAGGGCATTTGGGGGCAAACGATGGACTAATCAGGTATTGGTTCATTGGGTTTCGGAGGTTAGAGCAAAATTCATTCATCTATTTCTTTAAATAGAGTTTTGATATTATAACTGATGTCAGTTCGTGATGAACAACAAACCCCCCCCCATCAATTGTGAATCATAATTCTAATACATCACACTGGTTTATAACCTTTATTTGATCATAGTTATTAGGTGCACACTCTCATGGTCAGTCTGGCGTCGCTCAAAGGTTGTCCATAAATGATAGTGAATTATTAGTGGATAAATATAGTCAGGCTATCATACAGAAATTCAAGATCTTCAGTCAATACATTGAATCAGTTCTTATACAAACAAAGTTTCGACTAAAACAAGAGAATATCATGTGACTAATCATAAGGAATATTGCTAAATTCGTAGGTCATGGAGTCATATAAATAATATATACGCTTGATAAGAAAGGGATGATAATAAGATGAAATTAGTTAGGGCAATATATATATATATATATATATATATATATATATATATATATATATATATATATATATATATATATATATATATATTATCAATTCATTATGAACGTTGGTCAGAGTTTGAACTACGTTTAAGGTGACATTTTAAGGTCAATCCTTTTTTCTCCTCACTAGTGACTAGCTTCGCGAGGGAATTCTGGGAGTTCTAGTGAGAAGCTATGACCAGTGGAGCTAGTCCGTGTTGGATAGAGACAGGTATCTAGCTCATTACAATGGAAGATGATCGCGCGATTTCGCAGATTTGTTCAAGTTGGACATTAACACCGTCGGATGCCGGCCAGCTCAGTGGTCAAGAGGTTAAGCGTTCGTGCGTGAAACTAAAGGCCCTGGGTTCGGACCCGCGAGGAGGTTCGTGTATGCGCACTGCTAAGGAGTCCCACAATAGGACGAAACGGCCTTCCAGTGCTTCCAGATTTTCAATTGTGGTCTAAAATCAATCATGTCATAATCTGAATCAAAAACATTTTTTGTATCAATTTAGTATAAACTTTGTTCTATAGGACAAGTGTGAACGCTCGTCCATAGTGACAACTTTATTCCCTCTGATAATTCAGGTGAACAACATTTATTGTATGTGTTTTTTTCAGTAACTGTAATTACTTCCCCCTTTATGTACTATAAAGTTGTTATATAAATGATTGTATTAAAGTCTAAAGATGATGTGATTTTGAAATTTCTTTGGAGACGGGTTTTCAAAGAGTCAGTAAATCTTCATGACAACAATCTTTCATGTTCTCACTTTGTGTTGTGGGAATTGGAGTGGATGGAAGAACGTCAGTGGTTCCAGATTATCAAGATTATCAAGGCAATAAGGCTGTGAATTCAACAGAGTCGATACGCACATAAAAAGCGACAATCCCCTATATTTAATAGTTGCTTATCCAGTTACAAAAGTGCCGAGAGACTCAATTTTACAGTTATCAAAGTGATAAAATTGATAGGTATGTTCATCACTTAGAACATTTCAGTTAAGAAAAAGTGGGATAGTCTAATTTGAACTAAACGATTGTTTTAAAGTATACAATTTGTGAATAGTATTAGAATCCCGATTGAGCATTTCATCCTATTTAGAGATTATCAGTTGTATTTACCTGCTATAACTCCTCAAGTTTGATGTTTACATTTAACCTCAAGTCCAATAATTTACACGTCAAATACTAACGTATCATTCACTGAACAGATAGCCATCAACCTTTACGACGGGTTAACAGTATTATATTATTAGTTAGCGTTTTTAGGAATAAACTAAAAGCACATATAAATGCCGTACTATTCTAGTTACAATCAGGTTTAAAATTTACCCCTATAGTTTATTGTTACCATTATCAATAATAGTGTTGAATGACTTGAAGTCGAAATTCATGAAAAGATATTTATCATATTGTTATGATTGATATGCAAGAATATATGAAACAATAGTCCCCAAGTGCTCTGGTACGGTCGAGAGTGGAGAAATTAAGCTATCCCTCTCCAAATGCTCTCATATAGCCACGTGCATATAACCACCATCAGGGAAGTCCTACTCACTGCATTCTCGTGGTGGGGGGTGTTCTTTACGAAATTGAGAGAACGAAAAGTGAATGTTCGGCGCTTTAACCAGGTTGGTGGATATGGAGGATCCACCTAAGGGAGTTGAAAGACGCTGAATGGAAACGAATGGTGTAGATGGGCTCTAGGATCCTAAGGAAACAAATGGTGTATGAAACTATTGTTGGTTATTGACTACTCTGGGACTACATCTCCTTACGTTGCTCCACTGCCTTGTGGATAGGACCTTTAAGTCGAAGGCTCTGGTTGTGGCCCCCTTAAGAAAAGTGAGTGTTTCGGTTTGGGCACCCGGGCAGTATCTCAGCCCCCATACAAATTGAATGATTCATGTGGCGCATATCTATTTGGTGCCTCCTTGCACCAATATTCATGTGTTTAAATATATAAATAAATAAATGAAATAACAGTTAAACAAAGAATCATATCGACTTCATTTATTCACTCATCAAATTGGGATCATTTTTTATTACACTGATTATATACAAAACATGAAAATCAACTCACATTTTAACTGACTGATTAGTTTTCTCTCCACCTATTGAAAGAAAAAATGTTTGGTAGATGTAGTAGAAACGTAGCGAACAGAACACCAGTGGGAACAATCGAATGCGTTTAACACAAAATTACAGGACTTGTTAATAAAATCTAATAATCAAATAGTAAATACGTACTTAGCAAAATATCCATCAGTTGTCTCATAATCACTCAGACTTCATTGTTCTTGCATTTTCATACAAATTGCATTCTTTTCCCATTCTTTACTGTTCAATCCTCTTGTGTCTCTGCTGCCAGACCTTCTGTTTACGACTAACATCATCTACTACTTATGTCAATACAAGTAGTACACACCACAGTAATAGTAGTGTGAATAGTACTAGTAGTGTTAGTAGTAGTAATCACTACTAGGATTTCATATCACTACCGTTTCTATTCGAGTTGATTCATCTATATAACGTTCATTGTTAACCCAATGCAACGTAGTAAAAAAATTAATAAATATGTTTCTGTGCTATGAATCTGCTATATTTGAAGACATTAAGAGATCACCTAAATTGGTGAACGGAACGAAATCAGTCAGTCAGCTACATCAAAGCACCACGAACATATATGCGTCGGTTCAAGTTGCAATACCTCATTAGCACAACAACACGAACACAGGATTCATAGAAGTAGTCAATTCAATAGTAGTAATATATAAATGAAAGATTTTATGTAAGGATATAGTACAGAAAGAAAGAATTAGTTGATACAAAGAAAGATAGGAAGCGATTTCAATCTCACAATTTAAGGGTAGACAGAGTGTGTATACACCCATACCATTGTGATCGGTCGATTGTGAGTCATGTCACACACAATCTCCAACCATTGATTATGATAGTGACACGGACACCAACCAAGTAGTCTGTATCTACCAACATGGCACACACTAGAATTTAGTGACTTCAAGGAGTGACACCACGATTTGGTTTGACCGCCTCTAACTCTCTCCCAATCATCACCAACACTATTCAGTATTTCACGTCGTGGTAATCGGTGTTCAGACATACGTAAAACGTGACCCAACCATCTCAGTCGATGAAAATTCATGACCTCACCAACTAATTTACTATCATCATTTCCTAATACACTATGTCTAACCTTGCTATTATTTACCCGGTGATTCCAGCATATGTGAGCAATATTTCTAAGACATCTGTGGTCAAATACTAGTAGCTTACGAATATCTTCAACTCCTAATGGTCACGCTTTGCAGCCGTAAAGTAAAACACACCAAACTGCCGAGTAGTATACGGGACGAAGAATCAGAGATACAGTCATAAGACAGCTAAATTATTCCAATGTACCCCAGCCTCACTAACTAGAGTAAGAGTTTTAGGTTCAGATGAGAGAAAGTATATTCCAAAAGCCATCAAAAGTACAAACAATAACAAGCACATAACTTAGGCGAATATATAGCACATAAAAATGTCCTTGGGAAACGTCACATATTAAAAGACACGACGAACCAATGACATTTAGGATCCTTTCAAGTAGAAAATACAATTTGAAGGTAAGAATGGGCAATTTTTGTGCGAAATCCAGAAATAAAATCACAAAAACACGATATTTACCAAATTAGTTCTGGGTGTTCTAGCATCCTCAACAAAATCGTAGTGAATCTTCAATGATTACTGATTCTACTCAACGAATCTCTGATTACATAGATCATAGTTTAGATTCGAAAGCTCAGATCCTCGATCAACTAATCAGTTCATTCAATATTTACTTTAAAGTAGTTTATCTAACATTGATGAAAAATATCAGTTAAATACTAAGTTGAATCTATGAAGTAATTTCTAAATGATGCTTTGTAACTATTCCCTTAAGCTAGATAGGTTTGGATCCAATCCTATTCAACTATGGCATACGAGTCCGCAGTAATTTCTATCAAGCGTATAAATCTGAAACTGAATATGAACAAATCCCTAGGACTGAACGTTTAAAATGATAATTTTTTCAATCATTGTAAAAGATGTTGAATTTGTGAGTGTTGATTATCAGCAGGAAGCTTTAAACACATATTTAACATTTCAATAGTTGAAATCATGAAACATCTAAAGTTAGATCACTATGGAAAACCTAAAAGCACTGAACGGCCGTTTTCTCCTGTTGTAGGACTCCTCAGCAGTACACCCCCATGATCCCGCCCCCCGCGAGATTCAAACCCAGAAATCCCATACTAGAACGAAACGACCATCCAGTGCTTTCAGGTTTTCCATGGTGATCTAGCTTCAATTAAATCATGATTTAAACTATTGAAATTCTTAAAATCTCCACAAAACCCCTTCTGATATTTAGCATTATTATCGCTCAGATAAAAGATTTGACCGTTAGAATTGGAAGTAAATACTTGTAGCTTGCCCTTTGTTAAGTTGAATTCGAGAGGGTCTCATTGTTTCGACTTTTCTACGTCCGAAAAGGTGCAAACAAACTCGAGCTCTCACTGGATCATGTCAAGAGTCTAAATATATACATCAGAACGATTCACAGCCATTTATCCAGCTTTATCGACAACCGCTAATGAAAATCACGTTGAACTCGGCGGTTTGCCCCCAAATTACATAGTGCGGCCGAGAGTGAGGAGATTAAGCTCTCACTCCGAAATGCTCCCACATGGTCACACGTATACAGCCAATGTCAGTGACGTCCTACTCACTGCCTTCTCACTGCATTACTGTTGTTTACAAAATTGAGAGGACAAGAAGCAAATATCTAGTGCTTTAAACGAGTTGTTGGACACGAGAGGTTCACCTAGGAAAGTTGGAAAACCCCGATTCCAAACAGCTGGTAAACATGGGCTCCTGGATCATAAGGAAACAAAAGGTGTATGAACCAATTTTTGGTTACCGGTTACCATGAGAATGTATTTCCTTGGGTTGCTCCACTGCCTTGTGGATCAGGCCTTCGAGTCAATGGCTCTGGTTGTGGCCCCTAAGGAAAGTGCCCGTTTCGGTTTGGGCACCCAGGCAGTATCCCAGCACTCATATAAACTGAATGATTTATGTGGCGCATATCTACTTAGTGCTTTCTTTTATCAATGTTTATGTGTTTAAATAAATAAATAAGGGAAATATGATGTTTCAGTTCAAGTAAAATACTCGGAAAGAATAGTAAATCTATTCGATACTTACGTGAACTAAGCACTTTTGATTTTTGTTTTGTTATAACTGAAGGAGCAGGATTTGAAACCGTTTCTGAAATATTTTTTAAAAAAAAGTCTTTAGAAAAACATATAATTCCTATTGTGGTGTGAGCTACTTATATCCACATAAGTAGGATATGACACTTGATTGTCCTGACGTGTATTCTTGTTTACTACACTATGGATATAAACTAAATTTCTGTCATATTTTCTAGGAAATCTAGGAAGACTACACAGCCGTTCCTATGTATTTCTTTCGGACTCCACAGTGTTATCTACTTCGACTAAAAAAACTATTTGAAAAAAAATAATTTTACTTACGCCTGTTACCACTGGTCAAAGGGTATAGGCCAACCATCAACATTTTCCATTCAACTCAGTCCTTGAGAATCCTTTCCAGTTTCTGTTCATCCTTTTCATATCTGCTTCCAACTCCCGACTAATTGTTTTCTTTGGTCTTCCTATTTTTGTTTCCCTTCAGAACTCCATGTTAGGGCTTGCCTCGTGAGGCAGTTTGATAATTTCCTTAATGTGCGTCCTATACACATCCAACATCTTTCCCTAATTTCCGCCTCGACCGGAGGTTGGTCTATTCTCTCACACACTATGTTGTTTCTGATGATATCCAACCAACGGACATTTACTTTCTTGCGTAGACAACTGTTTAGAAATACTTTTATCTTTTTGATGATGGTTGTAGTAGTTCTCCACGTTTCAGCTTCGTATAGTAGGACTGTCTTGACGTTCGTATTAAAGAATGTGACTTTGATATTGGTTGACGGTTGTTTTTAGTTCCATATGTTCTTTAACTGTAGGAATGCTGTCCTTGCTTTTTTAATCCTCGCCTTTACGTCTGCATCAAATCCTCCTTGTTTATTGGTGATGATGCTTCCCAGATACGTGGAAGATTGCACATCTCCCTGAGCTTCTCCATCAAATGTGATTGGGTTTGTGTTCTGCGTGTTGTATCCGAGGACCTTCCTTTTTCCCTTGTATATGTTGAGATCTGCTCAGGACAGGAAAGTGTTGATTGGCGGCCTATGCTCCTCCACGTAGAGTAACAGTCGTAAGTAAGTAAATAAGTATGTTGAAGCCTGCTGATGCAGAGACTTCTGCTACACTAGTTGTCTTCATCTGCACTTGTCCGTGTGTATGGGACAGTAATTTTAGTGCTCACTAATAATTTGCTTTTATATAGATACTCCAATTTTATTGTAAAAAACAACAAACAGTTAATCGTCAATATGTATCTTTTAAACTTCAAGTTGAATAAGTAAAATCATATCTCATTACCAGTCATTCTAAAACCAAGGAATAGTGGAAAGTTGTTTCAGCCTAGTATGAGATTTCTCAGTAGTAAACACATGCAACCTCCAAACTCATTTAAATTTACTACCTTCACAACCTTTACCATCGTTGTTATCTATCTCACTTTCAACATCATTGAACTCTATCTATCATAGATGATAACTAGAGCTTCAGAGATCTATCTTAAATTTGGCCGCTAGTAAGAACATAATCATTTTCAAAATGATAAGTGTTATGATCTCTCTTTCTTCTTACGGTTATGACCCAGCTATTCCTATTGTTTAGTATTCTTGGACACTAAATCACTCGACAAAACCCCAAATCAGAACACGGTTGAACAGGAAAGAGATTATATTCCAAATAGCGAGTCAGAAGCAAGTCAGAAGCACAATAGAGAAAACGTCAGTATATTTATAGTTTTTTTACGTGAGAAGATTCTAGAGTGTTCTCCAACTATCGACTAGTGCTGATTGGATAAGAATTAGCCAATCAGCGTGCACCAAAGCAATCGTGAATTGAGCATGCTTTAATCTAGTCTATGTCCCGCTAACAATAAGGTTAAGCATTCGCGCGCGAAACTGAAGGCCATGGATTCAAATCTCAAGGTGCAGGATCGTGGATACACACCGCTGAGGAGTCCCACAATAGAACGAAACAGCCTTCTAGTGCTTCCAGGTTCTCAATGGTTGTCTATCATGATCTCAATTTAATTGTCATCAATATAAATCTAATTGTTGAACTCCATGTTATTACATATAACTAAACGAGCTAATCAATGAAATAATAACAAAACAAAACACCATTATTACATCATATTACCATGACTATAAACTACTCGAAATGGATTGATTGTAATAAAATCTGTTTGTAATATACGCCAAGCATAATTCATATCGGATGTTCCAGAATTTTCAGTGAAACGTTGTAGTATTGACAATAAAGTTGGTTTAATTATCTAAATAGAAAAGTATATCATACTTAGGATTATAATTATGACACATAGAATGGGATTTGTGAGTATTAGGTAGTACTGAACATGTAGTGACCTACTTTTATCAGGAGAACGCGATGGGTTTAATGGAAACAATCATTATTATAATCAATTTTACCAGTGATTGTTTTACTGTGCTCGTTTGTTTAACTGTGCTAAAAACAGCCATATTACTGCTCCATTATCCTTCGATTGATTGTGACCTTGTACGGATTGGGTTACGCTCAGTAACCACGCTTGTACTCCTTTGGAACGATCTCGGTATCCTTCCGATATCACGAGATCGCCAACAAATACATCTCGACTACAGCCATCAACTGCCTTCTGATATTTGGCTTACGGGGGATTTTATCGGTTCACTGGCACGTAGTCTTCTTGTAGTGGTGCTCATAGTTAACCGCGACTCGACACCACACTACAAACATCTACTTTATCCTAGTTTAGAATTTTATTTGTAATAGATATCAACAAAGCACTAGGGATCAAAATGAATATCCGCAAATCGATTGAAGATTGTATTACTCCAAGATTGTTAGGTTGTATACACTAAAAAGTTACATATTTGATAAGTCTTGTTAATTTGAACGCTTTATTCAGTTCTTAAGTTATTCTGATAACCCACAAGCTAGAACTACGCAGCGACCTGAAATCGAGAGAAAAGGCGAAAATTAAGCGAAAAACACTTTACTCCAAAGGTTCATTCTTTGTACAGAAAAACACGGATATTTATAGATGTTAACATTTGTCAAATCAACATCATAGTTTGGCCAATCCGCTAAAAGACATATTATACTACTGATTAATATTAGCACGCCACGTTGACATTCTAGAAAGCTCCATCATGCTCTGATTAGCTAGGACTCTTCGGCTCCTTTAGGGCCTCTGGAGGCTCTGTTGCAGTTCTCGGAAAGCCGACTCAACAATATTCCGATAAGATATCCATCTAGTGTTCTTTTAATTTTCAATAGTTGTCTAGTTAGTAACAATCTATGATGTACACTACCTTCAACTAACAATTTACTGAGGAATCTAATAGAGATTCCAGTTTAACGATCTTTAAAACTGGATTACAGATTATAGCCTTGTGGCCTTGTTCCCCTATCAATATATATGACGTAATGATACCGTCAATTAAAAAATAGTGACTTATCAACCGGATTAATGATGTATAAACCCGTACGAGAAGTCTAGAGTTCTTACCGGTCATTCTTCCTACCTGGCTCTGCCTATTAAGTCCAAAACATCAATCTCAGCCTCTATGATATGAATCATGATATTTCAAACATACTGGGTTTATATACAAACGAAACAGACTACATCATACTATAAAATGAAAAATAACATTTATACAAGATCTAAGCCAAAAGTCGCTGTGAATGTGGGAGACTGTAATAAATAGACAGGGCATAACTCAAGGACGGTAAATCGTATAATAATAATGATCTTTGAGTCAAAATAAAGCGTATAATAACAGGAATATAGATATACATGATCTAGTTACTGAATAGTTATAGAATAAGACAATGTGTATAGTATTAATCCATTAATAGATCCGAATAGTTACCATTCAGTATTCTCGTTGAGATATAACAATATGATCTAAACGTATTATGTTCTATCTAATAAATGTTCGTCGTGTTCTGAATTCATAAATACAAACCATGATAAAATCCCACTTGTTCTTCTCTGACTATTCGATCACTACACAACCTTCTTACGATATTTGAATGTTATGAACACCTTATGATGTAATCTATTTCTGTTCTTTTCAAGTCTCATATATCTGCTGAAGAGTCTCATAACAAGACGAAACGGTCGTCTAGTGCTTCCAGGTTTACCATAGTGATCTAGCTTCAACTGACTCATGATCTCAACCAGTGAAATTTTTCAGATATATATATATATATATATATATATATATATATATATATATGTATTAAACAACTCAGGAACGAGACTATGATTTATGGATGAACCAATCTGGTATCAGATAACAGGTTTCGGATTTTGTAGCGAAACTCACCCATCCATTTGGTTAAATAGAGTTTTGACATTAAAACTGATGTCAAATCTTGATGAAAACCCTAAATCTAATTCCTAACCTTAACCATCAACTATGATCCATAAATCGAATTCCTCTCACAGGTTTTGAGATGGTGGAGAAGATTTGTGGCTCAGATGAATGATTTTGGTGGAGTTTTGTTCTCTGAGCTGAATGGTTTGGTTGTGGAGCTTTCATCGTTCTTCTGAATGACATCATCAGCACAAACTTCAGATAGAAGTGAAGTGTTCGAATTTCTCCATATGTGTTTCACAGCTTGTTCTGTGCACAGAACTCCACCAACATCCCACAGGTTTATAACCCTCATTTTGTCCTAGTTACTAAGTTTACACTCTGAAGCTCACGTTACCGTTACTCAAAGGCGGAGGAAATTCCAAAAACACCTGAAAAATTTTAGAAGCCTGGCACTCAGGTAAATCAGCAATCAACAAGCACATTGTTATTGATCCAATATATCAACCAATTAGAAAAAATTATGCACAAATATAGGAACAAAAATCAAAGCAATGGGGAACACAACGAAAACAAAGAAGTAAACAATGACAAATCTAAGGTCAATAAGAACCAATCAACATCGAGGTGTACAGAACAAGCTGTGAAACACATATGGAGAAATTCGAACACTTCACTTCTATTTGAAGTTTATGCTGAAAACAGATATATCCAATCAAAGATGGATAGTGGCTGAATGTACCTGCACGCCAAAGTTGATTTTCACTTCAGGATTCGAACCAAATACCTTTCGCTTCAAACCCTGGGATACAGACATATTCAGCTGATGAATCCCGAATAGGATGAAACGTGCATCAAACTGGATTCCACTACTAATCACTACCAATATTTGATTATAAAAGCTTAATTTAATATCGAGGCATATGCACAGTATGCACATATGCCGATAACAGACTGATCAATTGCAGTCTTAAACCTCAATGGAAAGATACAAGCCAAATAATACCAAGTGAATTTAAATTCACCCCATTGCACAAGTAAGTGGCTATCAGGACTCAGTAGCTAAGTAGATAACGCGATAGCGTTTGAAGTGAACATCAACTCTCTGAGATCCAGGTACATCCAGCTGACAAATCCCAAATAGAACGAAACGTGCATCAAACTGGATTCCACTACTAGTCACTATCTATCTTTCCTTACAAAAAGCTTATGAATCAAGGCAATATCCAAGTAATACGCACAGGATACACACATGCCAACAAGAGATTGATCAATTACAGTTCTAAATAACAATAGGAATATACAAGTAAAACACACCTCCTTACTTTTTGATTAGGCCATATAGATAATAATTGTTTAAGTTCATTTTCTTTAGTAATTAAATTGTTTATAGCATTTGTAAATTTTTCTTTAAATTCTAATTCATTCAATTCTGTATTATTTATTACAATACTACTATTATTATTGTTACTATGAGTAGTTGTGGTGGTCGTGGTGTTGGTGGTGATGTTGGTGTTGGTAGTCATGTATGATACATAGATCTCCGTTAAATGTACTAATACTTCTAAAGCTTGTCCAATATTATACATACAATGAATCAATTGATTTGCATAATATTTAATTAATAATGGACAGATTGTAATCCCATTTAATAAGATATAATCATAATCATCAAATAATATATTGATTGATTGATGAATATCTTTATTAGATGAATTAGATGATTTAATGAATTGATTATTGATATGAATTGATGAACGTTGACGTCCAAGAATAGTGATAACATAACCTAATGGTGCATAAATGATTAATTTATAACAATATCGACTAAATGATAATAATAATGATATAGAACTAGTACCAGTTGTTTCAAGATATTTCATTGGATCACCTTGTATTGATTTATTCCAATGATAAGATTCAATTAAAAGTGTAGATGGATGATTAGATATAGATGATGTAGATGGTAATGTTTGTATTGATGGATTAATACCATAAGTTGTAGATTGTAAATCATCAGGTGAATTATATTGTGAATTTGAATTATCATCTTTAATAAATGAATCTAAAAAGAATAGAAGATATTTCAATGTTACAGTATTTAGATATGAAGATAAAATAATTAGTGCTGGAAACATTGGGTAAGTAATAGTGAGGGTATTCGGAAATGATGATGGTGAATCAGTTGATGAGGTTATGAATCTTCATCGAATGAGATGGTTGAGTCAAGTGTTACGAATGCATGAACACCGATTACCACAACGTGCAATGATAACTAGTATTGGGGATGGTTGGAAGAGAGTTAGGGGCAGTCAAACCAAAACGTGGCATCACACCTTGAAGTCACTAAATTCTAGTATGAGCTATGTTGATCGCTGCAGACTACTTGGTTGGTGTCCGTGTCACTATCATAATCAATGGTTGGAGATTGTGTGTGACATGACTCACAATCGACCGATCACAATGGTATGGGTGTATACACACTCTGTCTACCCTTAAATTGTGAGATTGAAATCGCTTCATATCTTTCTTTGTATCAACTAATTCTTTCTTTCTGTACTATAACCTTATCTGCAATCTTTCTTTTATATAATACCATCATTGAGTTAACTACTCCTATGAATCTTGTGTTCGTGTTGTTGTGCTAATGAGGTATGGCAACTTGAACCGATGCTTATATATGTTCCTGGTGCTTTGTTGTAACTGACTGACTGAATTAGTGCTTGTCATGGATCTATAACGTTTGAGGCATCACTTAAAATTATGGAGCATAAGACAGATCTTCAATTTTTCTATTTAATCATAACACATCCAGAAATATCAAACCTCTCAGTGGGCATGTTACTTATAGATCATTAATGTTGTATCAACTGATTTAAATGTTAGAATTCAGTCAATTTGTAAAAGAAAACATATGCGCATTTCCGAGTATTTTCCAAAGAACTTGAGATTGTGTGACGACGGACCACCGGTGAACTCGAGGAAGCTGTAAGAGGCTCAGAAGGAGCCGAAGACGTTCCATCCAATCACCTTTCGGAAGAATGTTCTAGAATTCCAACGTGTAGCTTCCCCATTGGATAATGCTAATAACCCCTTGTACGCGGATTGGAAGACTGCAATGATGATTTCGTTCTCACTAAAAACTATAAATACCTGACAATTTAGTACTATGTTCGACACTGTTTGGAATAATATTCCTTTCATTAGTCTTCTGTCTTCTTACTGCGACTTGGAAGGGTTTTGGTATTCCAGTGCTCAGTTATACGTGGTAGTATCAAGAAAAATCGATTTTTCAAGATATAACAGATTGAAAGGCGCAACGGATGTGAACAGTGCAATAACTCTCCATAGCACTTGATTGGCATTCCTCAATCTTTCAAAATTATTAACAGACAAAGAAACACATCGTCTTGATGGAGTTTTGTTCTCTGAGCTGGATGGTTTGGTCGTAGAGATTTCATCGTTCTTCTGAACGACATCATCAGTACAAACTTCAGATAGAAGTGAACTGTTCGAATTTCTCCAAATGTGATTCACAGCTCGTCCTGTAAACCTCAATGTTTATTCATTTTGATGCAACTAGTATATAACAAATAAATTGTTTAGTTTTGCATTCCTTAGTTCAAGTTTAACTCTAAGGTAAAACACTTTTTCATTAATTCACTGAATAAAAGCTACTTCGATGGTTTAGAAAGTACTAAAACAGATCAAAGTTTCTGTTTATTAACTATCTAAATCGTTGTCTCACAATTCAGTAAGATTGTTGAGAAATATCGTAAAACCAATGGCCGATAGATCCTGGGTTCGAATCTCGCGAAGCGGGATATTGGATGCACACTGTTGAGGATTCCCACAATAGGACAAAACAGTCATCCAGTACTTCCAGTTTTTCCGTCGTGGTCTAGCTTCAATTGATTCATGATCTCAAGTATTAAACTTGGTGAATAATTGTTTGTGAAACATCATTCATTTATCCACATTTCGGAAGAAGGTTTATCTACAGTAAAACAGATGAGTTTCTATCATAGAATTTCTTTAATAAGATTAGAAGACTGTTAGGATTTCTTGAAAAATTCATAAGTTATGTGAAACCATCAAAACTCATTTACATTTAAATTGTCTTTTAACTGTTTGTTCATTGAGTTCACTTAGTGTTATTTGACTTGTATCTTCCCATTGTTATTTAAGACTGTAATTGATCAGTCTCACGATGGAATATCTGCATCATGTGGAGATTGCCTCGGTATAGCCTTAATTCACGAGCTTTTTAGAAGCAATAATGGATAGTGACTAGTAGTGGAATCTAGTTCGATGCACGTTTCATCCTATTTGGGATTCGTCATCTGGATGTACCTGCATCTCAGAGAGTTGATGTTCACTCCGAAAGGGACTCGAACCCAGTACTTTTCACTTCGAACTCTATCGCGTTATTCATTGGTTAGAAACGTACATACTTATCTGAAGGACATTCATAACACTACTAAAGACCCATATAATGAAAACAAACTTAAATTTTGTACACATACCTGATGTCGTAGTTATCGGTAAGAAATGTGTACTACTATGTTCATTTACTGGTATTGTTGATGATTCATCTGTTTCAGGCATACAAGTAATACCACGTGAATAAGTAGATGGAGTTAAACGTTTCGCATTAGGTAATGGCCATTGATAAATAACTGATAATTGAAGAATAATTTCACATGGTTGAATACTATCACAAAATAAATAATGTACTTTTGATTGATCAGATGGCTGAAATAAATTGAAATACGATATCATAGAATGTCTTTTTTTATGGCAAATTTAGGTAGTTTATAAGAAATGGAGATAGATATGAGAAGAATGAACAACAATTGGATAGAACTGGGAAGAAAGGCTCAGGACAGAGTAGGTTGGAGAATGCTGGTTAGTGGCCTATGCTCCATGAGGAGTAACAGGCGTAAGTCAGTATGTATGATCTGCACTTTAGGCATTGTCTACGAGATCGAAAATCTTTGGTTTGATTACTGCTGAAATCATGGATGTGTCACTACGGAAAAGTCTCATATTAGAACAAAATAGCTATCCAGTATTTCCTGGTTTATAATGGATGTCTAACTGTATTCGGTTCGTGATATCAATTATGAATGAGTTCTTCAGAAAAACTATGAAGTTCCAAAAGCGGATATTAGAATTAAGAATACTGTTAGGACACGAAACTGATTTGATGTCATTGATCGCTTGAATAATAACATTCAAGGAGATCAAAGTTTCTCCTCTTCTTGTTTGTGCACCTATTTCATTCATCCATGGATCAGATTTGTATCGCCATCAAATGCCCTGATACGGCCGAGAGTGGAGAGATTAAGCTCTCCCTCTCCAAATGCTCTCGAGTGTCCACGTGCATACAACCACTTCTAGGGAATTCCTACTCACTGACTTCGCGTGGTGGGGGTGTTGTTTACGAAATTGAGAGGACGAAAAGTGAATGTCCGGCGCTCTAACCACGTTGGTGAATATAGAGGATCCACCTAGGGAAGTTGGAAAACCCTGATTCCAAACAGCTGGTACACATGGGCTTCAGGATTCTAAGGAAACAAAAGGTATATGAACCAATTGTTGGTTACCAGTTACCATGAGAATGTATTTCCTTGGGTTACTCCACTGCCTTGTGAATCAGGCCTTCGGGTCAAAAGCTCTGGTTGTGGCCCTTTAGAAAAGTGCCTGTTTTGGTTTAAGCACCCGGGCAGTATCCCAGCCTTCATGTACTAATCTTTATATGTTTAAATAAATAAAGATTTGTATCAATATGTTAAGTCATAAAAATTGTATCATACATTGGATTGACTCACTTTTAAATTGGAATATGTTTTCACAATTGAATATGTATTTGGCTTATGATAAATGGTCACTGTCCTGAATTGATTCATTAAAAAGAAAACTATATAAGATATATAACATGATAGTAGAGATTCAAATACTATTTACAAATATAGGCATTCTTATAATAAAGTTGGATTAACTCCGACAGTATAATATATAAGGTGTGTTTCATCCTGTTTGGAACTCATCAAACGGATCTACGTCTTATATTCGTATTCGGATTGAGAGTCGAACTTAATATATTTCTTCTGATCAGTATAGGGTTGTGGAGATTAATAAGTTTCTGATCGCGACCATGAACCAATTGATGTTAGACCACCATTGGAAACCTAGAAGCATTGGACGGCCGTTTCATCCTATTGTGAAACTTCTTAACAGTGCGCATTCACTCTCCCGCTCGTGAGATTCAAACCCAGGACCTTTAGTCAAACCTCAACCAATCCATGAAACTGCGCGAACACCTTCGATTGTACTGAGGTAGATACCTATCTCTACCCGACACGCATCAGCCCCACTGGTCACAGCTTATCATTAGAACTCCTTTTCTTTTCAAGCGATCAAATGAGCTACTAAGTTCAAACAGTTTGTCCCTAGGTCAATCGGTATGTAGCTATATATACTTGGGAAAAATGAAGCATATATATATAAGTACACTTATTTGATGTAGTACTATTAACGTTATTAATATGTAAATCAGGTACTTCATTTGTTTACTGTAATTTTAATGTAGAATGACAATAGATTCTGATCAAGATATGATCTGGATAAGGCAATCGATACAATAAATAACAAATACGGAATGTCTATCATATTACATTTTATCCTATTAAGGTACAATAATAACTAAAATGAACACCTAACCTTTGAATATCTGGAGTTATGAAAGAAGTTTCTCCTTGAATGTGTTTGTGAGATTATAAATTCATGTTATATACGGTTTCAGATTTCATACCAATTATGTATTGTAGTCTAGTAATTAATGTATACTATCGTGTAAGTTTTAGGCCATAATATATGCAGAATGAATTGGAGTTTTTCGGTACTCTGATTGTGCAGGATGAAGCCGGAGAAAAGTTATATGTGTCAATTAGAGTCAGTGTTTTTAGTGGGGATAAGGAGTAAAACGAAGGTCATTCATGTTGTTACAATAGGGTGAACTGACTATTAGTGGATGTAATAGTTTAATAATTCGACAAAATGGGCATACAGAAGGGAAGATACGCAAATGATAATTTGTCAGTCAGTCAGCTACAACAAAGGACCAGGAACATATATAAGCATCGGTTCAAGTTGCCATACCTCATTAGCACAACAACACGAACACAAGATTCATAGGAGTAGTTAACTCAATGATGGTATTATATAAAAGAAAGATTGCAGATAAGGTTATAGTACAGAAAGAAAGAATTAGTTGATACAAAGAAAGATAGGAAGCGATTTCAATCTCACAATTTAAGGGTAGACAGAGTGTGTATACACCCATACCATTGTGATCGGTCGATTGTGAGTCATGTCACACACAATCTCCAACCATTGATTATGATAGTGACACGGACACCAACCAAGTAGTCTGCAGCGATCAACATGGCTCATACTAGAATTTAGTGACTTCAAGGTGTGATGCCACGTTTTGGTTTGACTGCCCCTAACTCTCTTCCAACCATCACCAACACTAGTCAGCATTGCACCTTGTGGTAATCGGTGTTCATGCATTCGTAACACGTGACTCAACCATCTCATTCGATGAAGATTCATGATGTCACCAACTAATTTACCATCATCATTTCCAAATACCCTGTATCTTTCTAACCTCACTATTACTTAGCCGGTGGTACCAGCAGATGCAAACAATATTTCTAATGCATCTGTGGTCAAATATTAGTAACTTACGAGTATCTTCTATCCTTAATGACCATATTTCGCAGCCGTAATGTAGAACAAGACGAACTGCTGCGCAGCATATTTGTCCCTTAATCGGTAGATGGATATTTTGCCTTCATCAGAGGTGACGTAAGTTGGCAAAAGCCAAGCAAGGCTTATGAATCCGTGCTGAGATTTAGTCAGACACTAACTAATTAGGTCTGATCAGACATCAAAGATAAGTGAAATTCTCAGCATGTTCAACTACTTCACTTCCTATCCTTAGTTCATGTGTTGATGCAGGCCAGTTCTGAAGCAACAACTTGCATTTAAAGAGGGAGAAACTTATTTTAGACATTCTGGCATTGTCCCTCAGTGCTACCAAAAGGCTGTGTTTCATCAGCGTCTTCATCAAACAGTACTATATCAGCTGCGTACTGTAAGTCGGTAAGTGGACCTCCTGGTTGGAGATCAATGCCCGAGGATTCAGTCGACGAGAATATTATTTCCATCAGTAGGTCTATGATGAAGTTGAACAAAAATGATTATTTACATAATAACTAATTCAGAATAAAAGTAATCTAACTAAAACTATGGTCTTTGTAAATAAACTTCAATTATAATTTGTTCTATCGAATACATTAAGATATCATTGAGTATTAACCAATGAAATCTTGTCTAATCCTTAGTTCGAATCAACGTTACCATGAGATCACTAATCACAATGTGATTTGAGTTTGACATTAGATACTTGAAAACAATTAACAAGAAACCCTAATTAATTCCATATTTTCATGCTAATCTAACAGTTGCTAATGGAATACAATTACAATCCTGAAGAAGTTGAAGTTCTCCAACGAATCAGATTATAATCAACAGAATATGATCAGAATCAAAGAATACATGAAATAATAATTGGTATTACTCTGTGATAATTTGATGTAGCATCCCAGTTCTATAGGAATCCTACTGTGTTAGAAGATACTGTCTTGACTAATGTCGACCAGAACGTAACATAGGTTAAGAAATTTTTTAAGATCATTAACTGCCTAACATTATTATGATAATAGAAGGTTTATGAAAAATAGACTTCATATATTTAAATGAAATACGAATGTATTTTTAAACCTTTGAAGTTACTAATTAACAAATAAAATTACAATTATCTTGGAATTAGAGTAGATTTCGTGGCGAGACTCTAATTTATGAACGAGCCAATCAGTGGCGTTCAAGAGATTTCAAGGTTATGGCGCCAACTTCAGCGGTTAACGCTAACGTACGATCGGTTCACAGGGGATTTTGTACAAAACGTGATAATTGAGAGGCTATAACAAATAAAACGGCGTGACTATAATTTGTGGACGAAACAATCAGGTATAAGGTATTAGATCTCGGATTTTAACGTGAAAGCCTTTCATCCATTTGGTTAAATAAACTCCTGGCATTATAACTGATGTCAGATCGTGATGAAAACCTCATATATAATTCCTAACTAAGGCAAATTACGACAATTATTGCGAACTGGATAATAAAAGCACCAGTAACACTAGCTCCAGCCAGGTACTACAATCTATACGGATGTTTGAAAAGCGTACAGACTCTTACATAGATTTGGTTATGTGTATCGTGTCGTTATCCACAAGTAGCATTTCGTGTACTCAACAACCGGAGTGCACATAAACACTATTGAAACTATGTGGTGGAGGCTGAGAGAGTTTTTGAGACTTTATCATGGCTCCAGTGGCCGATTATTCTGTAGCCGTATGAATGATTTCCTCTACTGCATGCATTGCGATTTTAGAACCTCTGAACCTCTTTCTAACCTTGACAAGTTTTTGAACCACGTATAAGAAGTGTATCCACTTTATTTTCTTGGTTTTGTATAACATATTTTTACTCTATACTGACTGTTTGTTGATTGACTAATAGTTCTCAAGGTCGCTTAAGTTTCGTTCAAAGGTCGTCCATAAATTAGAGTCTCGCCGAATCGTATGTCAATGATTATCTACGATATCAGTACTGTAACTTTAGTCAGTAAAAGTTATGATGATTATCATAATTAAACAAAATGTTATAAAACGTTTAGTCCATGTTCCTTACTTGAATGTTCCAACTGTTGTGTAAGGACTACAGCTGGTCAGTCTCTTATTGGTATATGTACATCCTGTTCAGGTTACCTTGGAATCCAGCATGCACGTTTCGTCCTGTTTCGGATTCGTCAACTGATATTCACTCTGAGACTCAAACTCATTACGGTTTGGCTCAAACGCCATCGTGTTATTCACTTAGCTACTAAGTCCTAATAGCCACTTGCTTGTGTGATGTGGTGTATTCTGTGTGTATTGCCTCGATATTGCCTTAATTAATGTTTTTATTCTAATTTCGACACATTTCATATTTACTAGTATAGGGGTTGTGGAGTTTATTAGGTTTTTGATTGAGATCATGAACTGATTGATGATGTTAGACCACCTTTGGAAACCTGGAAGCACTGGACGGCCGTTTCGTCCTATTGTGTGATTCCTCAGCAGTGTGCATCCATTTAATGTTTATTGTCTAAAGACGTTTGAATCCATACTTCATCGTAAACAATGATTTTTACAAAAGATTAACTTACTTGAATATTTCACAAAAATCTTTTATATCAAGCCATATTTCTTTAGGATTCGTTACAGAACTAGTTGTTATTGATACTTCAGGTACAATATCTTCACTGCATGATTTCATGTGTAATGAATTGTTTGTACGTGAACTAGAATTTTGTTGACTACTTCCACTTGTTTCTGGAGTTTTATTCTGTCCTTTAGCTTCTTTTGATTTACTTGTCATCCCTGAAGTAAATTTTTTTTCAATTTAGAGATGTGGATGATCATTCGAAAATATGAATAAACTCACAATTTAAATAACTAACACTGTAGCCGCTAAGTGGATGACCTAGACTTCGCAGATGATCTGGCCATCCTATCGCAATCGCAACAACAAATGCAGGAGAAAACGACCAGTGCAGCAGCAGCCTCAGCAGCAGTACATCTCAACATACACAAAGGCAAAAGCAAGATTCTCCGATACAACACAGCATGCATCAACCCAATCACAATTGACGGAGAAGATTTGGAAGATGTAAAAACCTTTACATACTTCGGCAGCGTCACTGATGAATACGGTGGATCTGATGTAGATGTGAAGGCGTTGATCGGTAAAGCAAGAGCAGCATATTTACAATTTAGGAACATCTGGAACTCAAAACAACCATTAACCAACACCAAGGTCAGAATTTCCAATACAAATATCAAGACAGTTCTACTGTATGGGGTGGAATCTTAGAGAACTACGAAAGCCATGATCCAGAAGATGTAAGTGTTTATTAACAGTTGTCTATGCAAAATACTTCGCACTATTAGCAACAGCCAACTGTGGGAAAGAACAAACCAGATCCCAGTGGAGGAAGAAATCAGGAAGAAGCGCTGGAAGTGGATAGGACACACATTGAGGAAATCACCCAACTGTGTCACAAGACAAGCCCTCACATGGAACCCTCAAGGCCAAATGAAAAGAGGAAGACTAAACAACACATTACGTCGAGAAATGGAGATAGACATGAGAAAAATGAACAAGAATTGGCTGGAATTAGAAAGGAAGGCCCAGGACAGAGTGGGTTGGTGAATACTGGTCAGCGCCCTATGCTGCATTAAAAGTAACAGACGTAAGTAAATAAGTAACCGCTAAGGCTTAAATAGAGTACCGTATGTGAGCAATTTAGTGACCATGAGTGATCAATGAAAATACGGGTATTTGGGTAGACATTTATTTGTGAAAGTTAAAGGCATATAATATCATAAAAAGAATTCTAGGATCTACAGACTTTCAGTTTATAGATTCAATATCTGTTTAGGTCATACACCCTTAATGCTGAAGAAACTCCTACTGGAATTAAACACCTGTCCAAAACTTTCCAACTTTCAGTGGTTGTATAGATTACATCGACTCATGATGTAAACTATCTTGATGGAGTTTCCCTTGTTAATTGCGTGTCAACGATTCATCAAACCAACGATAATGAAATTTATCTTAAAGCTCATTTAGATTCAATGAATATAGATTCACTCGTGATAGACTTTCACGTTGAAATATCTTGCTGATCGTTCATTTTTGTTCTATTACAGAATAATCACAAAAGATCATCAGATTAAGAAAAAACATTTTTGATAATCTTTAAGTCTAGATAATCCACAGTAGATCCTTCATCGATATTGTTCATAATCAACCAATGAATATCAAACTTCATTCTGATTGATCATCATTAAGATCCTGCAAAGACAGTAAATTCTAAGGGACTAAACATTTTCACTCTAATTAATGTAACAATAAATACTATAGTATCAGAATGGGTTTTGTGGAGATTTTTAGAAATTTCACTGGTTGAAGTCATTAGTCATTTGAAACTGGACCATCATGGAAAACCTGGAAGCACTGGACGGCCGTTTCGTCCCATTGTGGGACTCTTCAGCAGTGCGCATCCGCGATTCCGAACCCCGAGGGATTCGAATCCAAGACCTACTGGCTTCGCGCGCGAGCACTTAACCAACTAGACCACTGAGCCGACACCTAACGTTGTTAATGTCTAACTTCAACCAATCCACGAAGTTGTGCCACCGTACACCATTGTCTTCAGTGAGTTCCTATCTCATAACAGACCTGGTTGAACTTCACTGGTAACGACTTCTCACTAATGGTTAAATGCTCGCGCGCGAAACCAGTAGGTCCTGGGTTCGAATCTCTCGGGTTGCGGGATCGTGGATGCTCACTGCTCAGGAGTTTCATACTAGAACGAAACGGTCTTCCAGTGCTTCCGGGTTTTCCATGGTGGTCTAGCTTCAATTGACTCATGATTTCAGCCAGTGAAATACTATATGTTGTAGAATAAAAGACTTACTAGAACTCCAGGAAATACCTCTTGGAGATAGTCACTTATGAGCATACGATAATTATAGTCAGAGAGGGATTTTGTGGATATCAAAGCACTTTAATAGTTGAATGTATGAGTCAATTAAAGCTAGACCACCATAGAAAACCTAGTAACACTGAATAGCCAGTTTGTCCTAGTGTGGGACTCCTCTACAGTGTATATCCATGATCCCACTCACGGGGTTCGAACTCAAAACCTGAGTTGTTGATGTTATACTCGTTAAAAATAGACTCATCATTCTAAATAACTAATGGAAATAGTTTCTCAGTTGAAGATGGTTTGTGTTTTATTATAATGGGATAAATCACAATGTACTAGGGTATTTACAACATCTCAGTGTTCACAATTACAATACTAGTCATCATATCTTTATAGGGTGGTTTATATTTTGCAACTTACCTTTCTTTAGTATGTCTTCACGTGAACCCCTTTTCTAGAAAAGATAATTGAAAAACATTAGCACTCTAGGATACATATATGTCATTTTAATCACTAGCTATGAATAGGTAAATAAAAATGAGATCAACCTCTATCAGGGGTAATCTATTTCCTCAAGATTACAAGTATATCCTACTGATAAATGTCAGCTAGCATGAAATTTAGTGGTGAGACTATAATCTATGGACGACCTTTGAGTGACACTTAAGTGATCTTGACAGTGCACACCTAGTAACTAAGACAAAATGAGGGTTATAAAACAGTGTGAGGAATTCAAATTATGAATTATAGTTGATGGTTAAGGTTAGGAATTAGATTTAGGGTTTTCATCACGAACTGACATCAGCTATAAATTCTAACAATTAGACATCAGTAGTCCATAACGAATCTTTCCATTGATGTTTGGGATAGCTACTGGTCAATTTCTTGTTAGCATATGTACATCTTGTACCGATTGCCTTGATATTCCCTTAATTCACAAGAATTATGAACAAAGATGAATAGTGACTAGCAGTGGAATCCAGTTTGACTCATGTTTCGTCCTAGTTGGAACTCGTCAGCTGAATGTACCTGCATTCCAGAGTTGATATTCACTCCAGGATTTACCTTAAAAGATCGTAATGATCAGTTCAATTATAAAACATTTTGATTATTAAGAACTATCCAATACTAACTCGTTTCAATGTTTCCTAGGTAACATAAATTCCTTTTAATAAATGATCTTTAAATTTCCACTTATTTTTCATGAATCATGAATACATTTTTACTAACTTGAGATCTAGATGGACTTGGATTATTTGAAATGGATTCACGTCGACGACGTGTTGGTGATGCTTGAGAATTTGATCTAGTTTTAAGTGTCCCACTAATTTGTTTTCCTGTATCAGGTGAAGAACTTGACATATAAACTGATTCAGCAGTAGAAGTAGGCGGACTTGTTCTATAAATCAAAGGAATAATAATATGTATTTAAATATAAAACTTCAACTTATTAGCTTAAGGGTAAAAATAGTCGGTAAAATGGTTTCGAAGTGTTTTCAGACTAGCGAACTATATCATTCAACAGGACTCAGTAGCTGAGGGGATAACATAATGACGTTTGAAGCAAACGGTACTGAGTTCGAGTATCGTAGTGAACATCAACTCTAAGATGCAAATACGTTCAGTTGACGAGAACTCAAATAGAATGAAACGCGTATCAAACTGGATTCCACTGCTAGCCTCTATCCATCTTTGCTTAGAATGTTTTTGACTTAAGGTAATATTGAGGCAGTCCGCACAAAATATAGATATACCAACAAGAGACTGATTAATTGCAGTCCTAACACAACCTACTTTTACACCATAAAACACCACACGTCGGGGCAGTCGGTGGTTGACCATACGTAACACATGTTCAAGTCATCTCAACTGATGAAGTTTCACTACTTCATCAATTGATTTGTCATCCTTACCCAGTACTCGTTTCCTAACAACTGCATTACTTACTCGGTGGTCACAGGATATACGAGCAATGCTTCAATTACACTTATGATCGAATACTAGTAAGCTACGAATATCCTCTACTCTTACCGGTCATGTTTCACAGCCATAAAGTAGGACAGAACGAACTGCTGCGCAGTAAACCCTTCATTTGTTTGGTAGACGGACATCTCGCCTACGCCACAAATGACGCAAGTTGGCAAAAACTAGTCGAGCCTTCTGTATCCGTGCTGAGATTTCGTCACACCAGACCGCAAGGGCTGATGAGACTCCCAATATAAGTGAAGTGGTCGACACGCTTGACTACATCACTCCCGATCATTTTGCATTTCGAGGGGGGAGAATCGCATCCCGAACATGCTAGCATTGTTGCTTATAGTGATCAGAAGACTGCATTTTGTCAGCGTCTTCACCAAATAGAACTATGTCATTAGCATATTCTAAGTGAATCTCCTGGTAGAAGTTCAATCCCTGGACTGAGCCATGTTGGTAGGTATAGACAACCTGATTGGGATCCGCGAGATGATAACAACAGATGGTTAGGGACCTTGAATGACATGGCTAAAAATCGTTTACAATGGCGTAGGTTCATCCACTCTTTGTGTTCTCCCAAATTCTAATCTCCTGAATTCTTTGTGTCCCTTCTTTTCTCCTTCGAAATTTATTTCACTAGATTATACTCCTTGAATAACATCTTCAAACCTTAATCTTTCCGATTACTACTTATACTCTTACCACCTCTACCACTGCGGTAATTGAATTGATAACTACATTTTTGTGCTAATGTGATATGGCAACTTGAACTGATGTACATACGTACGTACAAAGTTCTATGTTGTTCTGACTGACATTATTTGGTTTCAGTATATTGTAATAAAAGCACTAGGTTGTTTTAATGCTTATTTGATCAGTTAATGGCTTAATAATACGGTTTGGATTTGAGAAATAATCTTTTAAACAAAATAATTCAATCTATCCATTTATTCATTTCAATACTTTATCGACTTTAATTGGTTAATAATCTAAAATTAAAAATTTAGCTTTACAAATCTATGTAAATGATAATTCATTAGTATTGGTTGCACAAACCAGTGACTATTTGGATTGAGTAGCTAAGTGGATAATGCGATGGTGTTTGAAGTGAACAGTATTCAATTCGATTCTTGGAGTGAATATCAACTCTGGGATGTAGGTATATACAGCTGATGAGAATCCGAATAGGATGAAACACGTGTATCCATCTCTATTTGATTGATAGTTACACTTAATACAAATCATTACAACAAAATCTAATATCAATACTTATAACATACATAACTTTCTCTGGTTCATAAAATATATGCCCTTGTACAGGTGTCCATAGAAGTAATGAACGTATAGGTTCTTTCTCTTTATTACTTTGTAAATCATTATTGTTAGATGAATCAAATGGAAAATCAGGTGGTCTTGGTCTGATCAATTTCCATTGAGGTGTAGGTTGTATAGGTGATGGAGGAATAAGTGGTATAGTACGACGTTTAGCTATACGAATTGGATATGAATCTGTATAAGTGAATCCAAATTGTTTAAGTTTCATTGTAATCTCCTCCTTAAATATTAAGAAATTTTATATAAAATGTATTATTGATTACTTGTAAAAACATATATAAGTAATAACCTATACTTTACAGTTCATATTATCTTCTTTCTTTCTGTACTATATTCTTATATGCAATCTTTGCTTTATATATTACACCATTGAGTTAACTGCTTCTATCAATCCGGTGTTCATCTTGTTGTGCTAATGAGGTGTGGCAACTTGAACCGATGTATGTACGTGCCTGATTCTACGCTGTAACTGACTGACTGACTGACTGACTGACTGACTAGAACCTTCCAAGTCACAAATAAGAAGATAGAAGACGACTGAGAAGGAATGCTATTTCAAATAGTGTCAAATATAGTGCAAACCTCTCAGGTATTTATAGTTATTATTAAAAGTGAAATCATCATTTTAGTCATCTAACCCGCATACAGTAGTTTTTATTACTTTTTAATAGGGAAGCTACATGTCATGATTCTGGAGTGTTCTTTCAAAAAATTACTGGATGGAATACCTTCTATTCTTTCTGAGCTTCTTAGAGTTTCCTCGAATTCACCCGTGGACCGTCTTCACATATACTTAATATCAAAAATGTCTAAAATGAACTGAATTAAAATGTTAAGAAAACCATTGGATGCCGATTCAGTGGTCTAGAGGTGGAATCGTGGATGCCGAACTGTTCACTAGTCCCATACTAGATTGGAACGGACGTCCAGTGTTTCCAGGTTTTCAATGGTGATCTTATATTCATCCATTCATGATGTCAATCTAAATTCCTAAACTGTGTATGTTATTTCCTTTCTTGAATTGACACTTTAAGAAATCAATAAAATTTATCTAATGATCAGCGCCTGATGCGAAACTGATATGTCCTGTTTTCGAATCTCACGGGGTGCGGGATCGTGGATGCGCACTACCGAGGAGTCCCATACTAGAGTGGAACGGCCGTTCAGTGCTCCCAGGTTTTCCATGGTGGTCTAGCTTCAATCATTGACATTAAATAACTAACAATATAAGGATAATACAAAATGAATAGAAATTTATGTAATGCTTATACATAGATCATCATCGGTTGCCAAGTTAGAATTCTCAAATCAACTCGAAAATAACAATCTGATTAGTAACTAAATAATAAACTCAATAAACTAACAATCATTTCATAGAATTAATCTAACCTTTGATGCTGAAGGAACAAGTGATGCCAATGATGAAACTGTATTTTTACACGATGCAAATATTATAGTTTCAGGAATCTTAGGATTCATTAATTCTGTTGTATTATGCCCAACTAAATGTAACAATATATATAGACAGAATGAGTAAAACAAAGAGTAAACTAATGACGTTATAATATATTCAAACCCTAATTACTGGTAGATGGACGAACAACTAGATTCATGTTTTAAAAGAATCCAAACCAGTATTTATCAGTTGAATAATGTCAATTGTAATAAACGTTTAGGTCGTCGACCAGCATTCCCCAACCCATTCTGTCCTGAGCCTTCCTTTCCAGTTCTATTCGATTGTTGTTCATTTTTCTCATGTCTGTCTCCATTTCTCGGTGTAATGTGTTCTTTGATCCTCCTCTTCTCATTTGGTCTTGAGGATTCCATGTGAGGGCTTGTCTTGTGACTCAGTTGGGTGTTTTCCTCAATGTATGTCCTATTCACTTTCAGCACTTCTTCCTGATTTCTTCCTCTACTGGAATCTGGTTTGTTCTCTCCCACAGTAGGTTGTTGCTCATGATGTCTGACCAACGGATCAAAAATATTTTACGTAGCAACTCTTATTAAACACTTGTATCTTCCGCCCCATACAGTAGAACTGTCTTGACATTTGTATTGTATTGAAAATTCTGACCTTGGTGTTGGTTGACAGACAGTTCTTTTGAGTTCCAGATGTTCTTAAATTGTAAATGTGCTGCTCTTGCTTTATCGCTCCGCACTTTCACACCTGTATAAGATCTACCATGTTTATCAATAATGTTGCCCAATTATGTAAAAGTTTTTATATTCTCCAAAGCTTTTCCGTCAAGCGTGTATTAGTTATCAATCTTCAATTTTCAATTTTGATCAATTTGTTATGATGAAGAACGACTCTGTAATGTCATCAATGAATGACTATCTCACTTTCAATATGATAGGACTTTGACAGTTACAGTCTTATCAGAACTTCAAGAATTCAGTATAAATTAGTGTTTTAAATGCAGCGTGATCATTAAATGGCTTAAAAATAACCTGAGTTTAATCTCGTTTACAATCGTATTTGCGTATTGATTAGTAGATCCAAACTGGGACAAAGTAGCTGTCTAATACTCCTTATTCATCAGTGGTTCTTTAATTCATGGGAATTTTTAACAAAACCTCTTACAACATTAATATGCTGGAGAAGGTAAGTTGTGATACGCCACAACTGAATATTCGTCCATTACACAACAACTATTACTACTACTACGACTACGACTACTACTACGTTTGTCATCATACCATTGTTTATGTTGACTTAAATCAGTATTTTGGTGGTCATGTGATTTACACTCATTCTCATTGATTATTCTGTCACGCAAAACAATATGTACTCTGTGATTTTACACTTTTACTTATCTTTGATATCTAAGCACTCTGTTGCACGGTCCTGTTGTCCTCACCTCTTATGCTCACATGAGTTTGGCATTAGGGAAGTTATCAATTTATTCAATCACACTAGATCCAGTTTTTGTATAAGAAAGATCTTAAAATCATTCATAACTTGGTATTGCCGTATTGTCTCAAACGATATTCGACTATAACTTGATAATGACAGATTTGGTAACAATCCTTGTTTATAAAAGCAATAGAGTTGCTCAATATTTTTTGATACCAGATGATTGAAACCAGTTGTTAACGTATACCCTGAACTGAGTTCTAGTTATATATATAGACTATATATGTGTCAACAAGACATATGTACGATGTTCAGAAAATCTATTCTCCTCATCAGATTCAGAACCTTGTCAATTTATTGGTTGTGATCAATCTGTAATACTATGACATCCAAAGTTTAATCAATTAACATGAAAACGTAATACGTGAGCTATGGATTAACTCTGACTAATGACTAAATTCTTTTTTTCAAATTAATTTCAAGAAATCGATCAGTACTACTAAAGACTAGACAACTAAGATTTTGGATAGTTGAGATCATAAGTCAATTGAAGCTAGAACACCATTGAAAACCTGAAAGCATTGGACGGCCGTTTTACTCTAGTATGGGACTCCTCAACAGTGTGCATCCACGATACCGCACCACGAAATTCGAATCCAGGAGTTACTGGTCTTGCACGTGAACGCTTAACTTCTAGACCATTAAACCGGCCGACATCCACCGATGTTAATGTCTAACTTCAACCAATCCACGAAAATGTGTGACACATCCACCATTGTCATCAATGAGTCAATATCTCACAACAAACCCGATTAAACTTTACTGGTCAGTACTTCTCATTAGAATTGCAAGAAATACCCCTTGAAGCGAGTTACTAGTGAGCATATGTTAATTAATATCAGAAGGGGTTTTTGTGGATATTATAGTAATTTTAACATTTGAAATCATGAGTCAATTGAAGCTAGACCACCATCAAAAACCTGAAAGCATTGGACGACTATTCCACTCTAGTATGGGACTCCTCAACAGTGTGCATACATGACCCCACCTCGTGAGATTCGAACCCCGAATCTATTGATCTTGCACGTGAATACTTAACCCCTAAACCACTAAACCTGTCGACATCCAACGATATTAATGTTTAACTTCAACGAATCCATAAAATTCAGTGAAACATTCACCAACTCAATAGTCTATAACGTTTCAGCAATTCATATACAACATCAATACATCCTGAATTCAACTCTCACAAGATAGGATCATCGATATGCACTATTGAAGAATTCTATCAATAGAATAATTTATCAATAACTTACCAATCAATCATTACTTACTTTGTTCTTTTTTCTCTTTATTCATTTCTTTATTTTTTTCTATTCCTATAAATCATTAAATTGATATGGTTTATTTATTTTTTTTTATTTTGTTTTTATTACCTTTTTTTTCTTTCGATTTCTCTTTATTGATTATTGATTTATTGATTGGCATATCATGAGATTCTAGTTTTTCTATTATTTCATTTTGTTCCATTTTGATAGATTTCTCATTTCGTTTTATGACATCATCAAATCTTTCCCAATCTAATAAATAATCACTAAGGTAATACCATAATTGATCTATGGAATGTTTCCTTTATAAAGACAAAAGGGAGGGGGGTATAGATAGATATAGATATAGATATAACTATTACTTGATTACAATGGTATGTTTAATCCATCCAGTTAAACATTGTATTGTACTGAAATCCCCTATTTCTGTATTGGTACATGTATTTCTACAACTATAAAAATGATTGATTATTGATTCAATCAATGATTACTCCATAGAGGCTATTTTCAATAAAGCTTTCGTTAATAACATTGGCCATAATTCATAAGATTGTTTACTTTGTGGAAGTAACGGTTTATTATTTTCATCAAATGGTATTGAATCATCAATAATGATTTTACGCCAACAACCCTAGAAATAACAAAAGAATGAATTAATTTGATAGTTCATTTTGAAATATTGATAGAGATAATAATAGAATAATAGAATGTAATTGTATGATATATACTACTGATATCAATAGATATAAGTAGTTTTAATGGACCACTATTGAAAACTTAATAATTTTTTTTCTGGTTTGCGTTTTTTTAGCGAGTTAGTTTTCTACAGGATAGGGTCGCTAACCCCATGCCCAATCCTCCTCCTTTATTCGGGCTTGGGACCGGCATTAGCCTCCGGAGGTACTCCAGGCGGAGTTCTACTGTATGGGGCAGAAACATGGAGAACTACGAAAGCCAACATTCAGAAGACACAGCTGTTTATTAACAGTTGTCTACGAAAAATACTTCGGATCCGTTGGCTGGGCATTATTAGCAACAACCAACTGTGGGAAAGAACAAACTAGATCCGAGTGGAGGAAGAAATTAGGAAGAAGTGCTGGAAATTGATAGGACACACATTGAGGAAAGCACCCAAGTTCGTGCGTCACAAGACAAGCTCTCACATGGAATCTTCAAGGCCAAATGAAAAGAGGAAGACCAAAGAACACATTACGTCGAGAAATGGAGATAGACATGAGAAAAATGAACAAGAATTGGATGGAATTAGAAAAGAAGGCCCAGGACAGAGTGGGTTGGAGAATGCTGATCGGTGGTCTATGCTCCAATAGGAGCAACAGGCGTAAGTAAGTAAGTAATATTGAAAACCTAGTTTCAAAACGTATTTCCTGAAGTTCTAGTGAAAAGTAATGACCAGTGAAGTTTAATCGAGTCTGTTGTGAGTTATTAACTCATTGATGATAATGGTCGATATATCACTCAATTTCGTAGATTAGTTGAAATGAGACATTACCATCATTGAATGCCGGTCGGCTCAGTGGTCTAGAGCTTAACTGTTGGCTCGTGAGGTGGGATCGTAGATGCGCACTGCTGAGGAGTCATACAATAGGATGAAAAGGCTGTCCAGTGCTTCCAGGTTTTCCGTGATGGTCTATCTTCAATCGACTTATAATCTCAGCTCTTACAATTGCTATATTATCTACAAAAACCGCTTCTGATATAACTAGTATGTGTCATTAATAGAAAGTGCAATGCCTGGAGGTAGAAGGTTAAGAAGATCGAAAAGAACAGAACGTGAACAGAGAATGACTGGTGTGGAAACGAAGTAAGAATCAAGTCTGAGACAATTGACATTTCGCAAATAAGCTATTCACTGTATAGTTCTCAGATTTCGCTAAGTGATTCTATATCTTTGTGTTCAAATACATTCGATTTTCCCCACTTGTGTTCTTGTTCACTACTTTTGAATACAAAATTACAAAATCTCTTAGTAAAATCTTAGAACTATACAGTAAATAATTCATTTGTAAAATGTCCATTAATTGTCTCAGACTTCATTTTTCTTTCATTTCCAAACCAATCACTCTTTACTCTTGTTCTCTTTTCTTTAATCTCCTTAACCATCTGCCACCAGGTAGTTCACTTTTGATTGATGATACATACTACTTATATCTACCCATATCAGTAGCATATACCACATTATGACCAAACAAAATATTCTAGAAGTTGCCGATGTACCCCAAAATATAGAGTTAATATTAATTCCAGTGAGATATAGCAATTTGTCATCTGTAACTGCTTCACTTTAATATATACAAAAGAGGAATTGAATCTAAAAGCTCATCACATTATAATCATTTCATCTTTTACGGTTTAGTACAAGTAGAAATATGTACCAACGATGGTAAGCTATAAAACTTGACGATTATTATTATCAACTGATGTGTGTGAAGGCTGGGATACTTTCCGGGTACCCTAACCGAAAAAGGTGGTTTACTTAGGGGGCCACACTCGGAGACTTCAATCTTAAGGTCTGGTCAGTGGAGCAACCTAAAGAGATGCAGTTTCTTGATAACCCGAGACCAATGATTGGTTCATACGCCATTTGTTCCTTCAGGTTCCTGGAGCTCATGTACACCAGTGGTTTGGAATTTTGGTTTTCCAACTACCCTATGTAGATCTTCTGTGTCCACCAGCCCAATTAAACCTCCGGATTATCCACTTTCGTCCTCTCAATTTCACAAACAACATCCCTGTCTCAAGAAGGTAATGAGTAGGATTACCCTGGTGGTGGCTATATATGCATGACCATGTGAGAGCATTTCGAAAGGGATACCAAATTCTCCCCACCCTCGACCGTACCAAAGCATTTGATTTACATCAAATACTATACATTGTTCTCAATCCATCATCGTCACTATTTTTAATCTATCAGTGTATATGTAGCCCTCCTATCGCATACACACGAACAAATGCAGATAAAGACAGCCAGTGTAGCAGCAGTCTCTGCATCACTAGGACTCAGCATACACAAGGACAAAACCAAGATCCTCAAATTCAAAACGAAGAACACCAATCCAATCATTATTGATGGTGAAACTCTGGAAGATGTAGAATGCTTCACATAACTGGAAAGCATCAGATGCAGACGTAAAGGCGAGGATTGACAAAGCAACGACAGCATTCCTACAATTGAACAACATATGGAACTCAAAACAACCGTCTGTCAACCAATATCAAAGTCACAATCTTCAATACGAACGTCAACACAATCAGTTCTACTGCACGGAGCTGAAACATGGAGAAATAAAACAACCACAATCAAGAAAGTATAAGTATTTTTAAATAGCTGTCTACGCAAGATACTCAACATCCATTAGCCGAATACCATCAGCAATAGCCTTTTGTGGGAGAGAACAAATCAGCTTCCAGCTGAAGAAGAAATTAGGAAAAGACGATGGAAATGAATAGGACATACATCACACAAATCATCGAACTGTATCACGAAGCAAACCTTAACTTGGAATTCTGAAGGAAGGCGGAAAAGCGGAAGGCCAAAGAACACATTATGTCGGGAAATAGAAGCAAATATGAAAAGGATCAATAGGAATCGGGAGTAGCTGGAAAGGATTGTTCAGGACAGGGTTGGATGGAGAATGTTGGTGAGCGACTTATGCTCCTTCACGAGGAGTAACAGGCGTAAGTAAGTAAGTATATGTACTATTAAACATTAAATGCATTATTATTAAACCAAAATACAAAAAAAAGCCTATTATTCAACATACCATCCAATACAGCTTGACAATGTATTTTCCATAAGGATTATATTGTGGTGTATTATTATTATTATCTTTAGTAATTTTTGTCATGGCATAAATATGTTCCCATGGTTTCCATTCATAATTATAGTTGGTTGAATGAGTTAAATTCATCATCATATTTGATTCATTGGACTCTGTCGGAGGAATAGATTCAGGAATTGGTGTTCTACATGATAACCATAAATTTTGTATGTCACATATAATCCATCTTAATAACTAAAATAATAATAGTAATTTGGTTGTTGTCAAGGCTACAAATTTTGGCGCTTACTTCATTTTTAAATAAATGTTCATTATAATAGAGTAGATCAACATGATTTATAAATTCTGGATCATATACAACAGGTGCCTATAGTAAGAAATAAAGAATAAATGATAAATAGAATGGATAAATTGAATTTAAATTTAAATGTTGATGGAAATCAAGGATTCCTCAAAAGTGTGTATCTACGATCCTGCACCAGAAGAACTCGAACCCAGGACCTTCGATTTCGCTCATGAACGCCTAACTTCTAGAGCACTAAGTCGGTAACCAACGATGTTAAGGTCTAACTTCAATCGATTCATGAGTGGCTGAGGTAGATACCTGTCTCTACATGACACCGATTGGACTCCACTAGTCACAGCTTCTCACTAGGAATCCAGGAAATCAACTCGGAGCCAGTTACTGGTGAACATATGATGAATCGATGGAAGTTAGATATTAACACCGTTGGCCCAGTGGTTTAGCGGTTAACGATTCGCGCACGGGATCAAAGGTCATGGGTTCAAATACTGCGTGCGACATAGTGGATGAGCATTGCCTAGGAGTCCCGTACTAGGGTGAAACGGCCGTTCAGTAGTTTCCATGTTTAACATCAATCAACTCATAATCTCAAACGAAAACTTTACAATCTCTACAGCCCCATACTGATGAAAATCAGAGAGACTATAATTCATAGACGGACTAATAAAATATAAAATAACGACGAGTACAAAGTAGGTTATCTGATTCATGACTAATCTAAATGGTAAGAGAGAAAATATAACTGTATAGTAAGCTGTATTATCAAAGGTGAAATTAAGTTACTTCCGAAATGATCATGTTGATAGAAACAGCGTCAAATAGTCGGTAACACTGAGTTGTCATAGATCCTTAACACTTAAAATTGAATTCATGTACAGATATGATGTGTTTTGTTCGTTTCCATTCCATACACCGACTTTCCTATCATCAAACTTGTAATCAAGGTTTCTGACCGCATTTATGTTTCTAGTTGAGTTAAAGATGGACATTGGAGTTAATTCTTTTATTTACCATCTAGCTTTTGTATAGATACATTCCCAATTTAAGTTGAACTTCACACTTAATACAACCAGGTACAAAGTGAACCCATATTATGCAGAGGACAAATGAGCTTCCAGTCGAGGGGGCGTTTAGAAAAAGACCCTAAAGGTGGATAGGAAACATTCTAAAAGAATCATTAAATTTCATCACAACACAAGCCCTAACCTGGGATCATCAAGTCAAAAGGAAAAGAGGTAGATCAAAAAGACTTGATGCAAGGAATTGGTAGTAGATCTAGAAATCATGAATATCAGCTGGCCACAAGTAAAACAAAAGCCCAGAATAGAGTTAGCTAAACATCTCTGATCAGAAGCCTTAGTCCCAAGAGAAATAACAGGTTTAGATAAGTAAGTAAATAAGTACAATTCAAAGTAACAGGTTTTACTTGGCATTATGGTGAAAAACTATATTCATAGAATACAAACGATATCTGAAATTGAAGGAACATTATTACTTAATTAATTAATTAATTAACTACTTAATTACTTAATTACTCCGGTTACCACTCGTCGAGGAACATAGGTCAATCATCATCCTGTTTCATCCAACTCTCTACTGGACAATCCTTTCCAGTTCTCTCAAGTTGCTATTCATCATTTTCATACCTGCTCCCGATTTCCGGTGTAGTGTGTTCTTTCGCTTTCCTCTTTTCCACTTCTTTTCAGAACTCCAAGCTAGCACTTGTCTCGTGATGCAGTTTGGTGATTCCTACAATGTATTTCCTATCAACTTCCAACGTCTTTTCCTAATTTCCTCTTCAGATGGAAGTTAGTTTGTCCTCTCACAAAGCAGGTTGTTAATGATAGTATTCCGTCAACAGACATTTAGTATCTTGCATAGACAATTGTTTATGAATGAATGAACTACTTGGATGACAGTTGTGATAGATCTGCAAGTTTCAGCTCCATACAGTAGAACTGTCTTGATTTTCTTATTAAAGATTCTGACTTTGATAACGGTTGAAAGTTGTTTTGAGTTCCATATGTTGTTCAGCTGTGGAAATGCTGTTCTTGCTTTGTCAATCCTTGACTTGTTGATCGATGATGGTTCACAGATACATGAAAGATTCCACATTATTCAATACTGAATTGAACTTAGAATATATACAGTCTTGTCAACCAGTCAGTCAGTCAGCAACAACGTAGGACTTAATACGTACGTACGTACGTACAATCAGTTCCGGTTACCATATCACATTAACACACACATACAATTGTCCATTCAAATTCCATACTAGCAGACGTAGTAAAAGTATAAGCAGTAATCAAAAACACTAAGGTTTGAAGATGTTATTCAAGGAGTATAATCCAGTAAAATAAATTTCTAAGGAGAATAAAGGGACACGAAGAATTCAGAAGATTAGAATTTGGAAGAACATAAAGAGTGGATGCACCTACACCATTGCAAATGATTTTGAGCCATTCCATTCAAGATCTCTAACCATCGGTTGTTATCATCTCGTGAATCCCAATCAGGTCGTCTACACCTACCAACTTGACTCAGCCGACTTGTCAGTGACTTCATGGAGTTATGCCATATTTTGGTTTGGTAGACTCTAGTTTTCTTCCAGCCTACTACAACACTATAAAACATCACATGTCGGAGCAATCGATGGTCGGGCATACGTAACACATGTCTCAGTGATCTCAACTGATTAAGTTTCATCAATTGTTTAATCATCCTTAACTAGTACCCATAAAGATGTTATGTATTTATTTTCCATATAAAATTTATCATTAATAATCAATCAATTTCAATGGTTTAGATCATGTGTCAGTTGAAGCTAGACCACCATGGAAAACTTGGAAGCAGTGGACTGCTATTTCGTCCTATCATGAGATTCCTCAGCAATGCCTATCCACGATCTCGCCCCCTGTGACCTGCACACTGCTGACGAGTCCCACAACAGGACGAAACAGCCGTCCATTGTATCCAGGTTTTCCATGGTTGTCTAACTTCAACTAACTCATGATCTTAACCATTGAAATTACTGTAATATCCACAAAAACCCCTTCTGATAATAATCAATGAATTCGATTTACCTTTTCTGTAATAAATTCATTTGGTCTTTTCATACTAAATGGTATCATGGATGATGGATATAAAACTTGTGATTCTGGATCAATAAAATATGTAGATGATGATGATGATGATTGCTAAATAAAATCAATTAAAAGTACTTCAAGAAGAAGAAGAAAAAAAAAGAATTTCCATAACATACAGCTGATAATTTACTCTTTTCTTTAGTTTTCTGTGATGAATCCCATTTTTCATTATTCACATCTTGATCATTCCATTCAGGCCATAATGGTATAGTTGTATCTCTTGGTGTAGATGATGATGGATTAGTTAAAGTAATTCTAAATATGAATAAATAATAAAAGAAAACAATAAATGTATTGTTAGAATAAGAATTTCAATGGTTAAGATTATGGAAAACCTAGAAGTAATGGATGGACGTTTCGTCCTATTATGAGACTCCTCAACAGTGCATGTCTACAATCTCACCTTTTGAGATTTGAACTGAGGATCTGTGAGTTTGGCACGCGAGTGCTTAACCACTAGACCACTGAGCCGCATGGGCAGTCAGTCAGTAACAACGTAGAAATTCGTACTTACATACATCAGTTCGAGATGCCATAGCACATTAGCACAGAGATGCAGTTGTCGATTAAAATCCCATAGTGGTAGAGGTAGTAAAAGTATAGACAGTAATCGGAAAGATTAAAATTTGAAGATATTATTCAAGGATTATAATCCAGTGAAATAAGTTTGAAAAAGGAAAAAAAGGAGACAAGTAGGATTCAGGAGATTAGAATTCGGGAGAACATAAAGAGTGGATGCACCTGCGTCATTGCAAACGATTTTGAGCCATGTCATTCAAGGTCTCTAACCATCGGTTGCTATCATCTCGCGGTTCCCAACTAGGTAGTCTACACTAACCAACATGGTTCAGTCTACTTGTCAGTGATAAAAAAAATATGAATAAAAGTATTACATTTTGTTGTATAATCCTGTTTCTTATTGTTAACTAATATAGAGATATATTTAGGAAATTCTAATGAACATTTATGATTAGTGGGTTTTAATTATGTCAAATGTAAAGTTGGTAATTAGTCAATATTCGTAGAAAAATATGTAGTTCCCAAATGCCATGATACAGTCGATATTGGGGATAGTCAACTATTCCTCTCGAAATGCTCTCAAATGGCTGTGAGTATACAATCACTGTCAGGAAAGTCCTACTCACTGACTTCTCGTGGCATTAACTTTCTTTATAAAATTGAGAGGACAAAAAGAGAATGTCCGTCGCTTTAGCCGAGTTGGTGGACACGGAGGATACACCTTGAGGAATCGGTAAACCCTGATTCCAAATCAATGGTGTACATGAGCTCCAAGATCCTGAATGAACAAATGGTGTATGAATCAACTATTGGTCACCGGTTATCATGAAACTGTATCTCCTTAGGTTTCTGCACTGTCTTGTTGATCAGACCTTAAGGTCGAAGTCACCGAGTTTGGCGCCATAAGTTAACCACCTTTTTCGGCCTGGGTACCCGGACAGTATCCCAGCCCTCAAGGAAATCGAACGATTTATGTGGCGCATATCTGTTTGATACCTCCATGCACAAATGCTTATGTGTTTAAATAATTAGGTAAACAAAATTTGTAGATATTATAGTGATTTAATGCTTCAATTAAACCTAGACCACCATGGGGAACCTGGAAGCACTGAACCGCCGTTTCGTCACAGCATAGAACTTCCCAGCATTGTACACCCACGACTGGTTAAAGTTAGACATTATCACCATTGGATGCCAGCTCAGTCATCTAGTGGTTAAGCGCTCGCGCGCGACACTGACAGGTCCTGGGTCCGAGTCCAATGTGTGGGATCGTTGGTGCGCACTGATGACGAGTCCTATTCTAGAACAAAACGGTTATCCAGTATTTCCAAGTTTTTCATAATGGTCTAGCTTCAATTAACTCATGAATTTGGAAATTAAGTTACTTCTGTCTCTTCCTGGATAGCATAATCATCTCTAACTTTATATTGTGGAACCAGTGAAATATCACTGAGCCCTAGTCAAATCATCCGGCAGTTAAGTCACTGAATATCAAACAAATCATCGATCCTCGCGTTGATCAATAACAATCAACGCTCATCAGTTGGTCGTACGCTATGGACTGTTCCATGCGGCGGTGGTCTTACTTTCACTTTTATCTACTTTAACTAATATGTTTCTGTAATAAGGTCCTTTGTGTTGTACAATCTTCAAAACTTCTGTAGTACCTTGATACGACGGTGTAATCAACGTAAGATGCTGACCGTGAGGTGTGACTCCGATGTTAGCTGGTTCATCACATCATTCTCATCCAACTCCAGTACACCTCCAATCATTCGACATAGATCATCAACGTTGGTGATTTACAATATAATTCTTCAATAGTAAATAATATAGATTATTGATTTAATAAATTAAGGATAAACAATTCATTAAATGATTTACTTAACAATCAATAATCAATAATTAAATGTTCTCAGAAGGGGTATTGTGGAGATTCTAGTAATTTCAATAGTTGAAATCATGAATCAATTGAAGCTAAACCATCATCGAAAACCTGAAAGCACTGGACGGCCGTTTCATCCAATTGTGGGACTCCTCAGCAGTGTGCATCCACAACCCCGCCTCTCGAGATTCCAACCCAGACCTATTGGTCTCGCGCGTGAACACTTAACCTCTAGACCACTGAGGTGGCCGGCATCCAATGGTGTTAATTTTTAACTTCAGCTAACTCACGAAATTGAGCGACACATTCACCATTGTCTTCGGTGAGTTACTATCTCACAACAGACTGATAGGTCCTAGGTTCGAATCTCGCGGGGGGGCGGAATCGTGGATACGCACTACTGAGGAGTCCCATACTAGGACGAAACGGCCATTCACTGTTTCCAGGTTTTCCATGGTTGCCTAGCTTCTATCGACTCATGATTTCAACCATTGAAATAATTAAATATTCATTCATATAAAACATTCAATGAAACTTACTCTTTTGTTTTACGATTAGATAGATTACTTGGAGACTTTTTACTTGCCATAAGAAAATATTTTTATTTTTATTTTATGAAATTATTCAAGAAGTTCAATAATAAGTTCCAAAAAAAGAAAAAGAAAATCTTCCATTATTCAACTTCTTCAATGTGAGTAAAAATAAGAAATGAATGAATAAAACAAAAAGATCAATTGTTTGTTTTGACCTAGACATATATTGTTGTTACCATGGTAACCATAATCGATTTTCAAGGTCATTCGATAATTTAAAACAATTAGTCTGTAAGGCCAGTGAATTGTTACTGAGCCCCAGTCAAATCATCTGGCAATTGGGTTATTGGATATTGAATAGATCGTCGATCCATGTCAAGGTCAAAGACAACCAACGCATATCAGTTCATCATACGTGATGGTGGTCTTACTTTCGTTTGTATCTACTTTAACTAATATATTTCTGTAATAACGTCTATCACATTAACACGGCGATACAATTGTCGATTCAAATCCTATAGTGATAGAGGTAATAAAAGTATAAGCAGTAATCGGAAACATTAGGGTTTGGAGATGTTATTCAAGGAGTATAAATCAGTAATACCAGGGTAGGTTAAGGGTAAGAACAAATTGCTTTTTGGAACACATAACAGAGGTTTCAGTTTCCATATAGCCAAGGCTTCAATAAACCTTAGTATGCGCCCTTGAGGGAGGCAAAACTCGACTCACACGTTTTCATCGTGCCTCCTGGATAGTGGGACTCAGTCCCATGAACTAACTTGAGCGGTAACCCGGGTGGTAGAGATCAAACTAATCACTCACTGGACCGGTACCCACAAAAAATTCACAAAAGTGCTGTATGGAATGTACAGAGTTGCTCCCTACAGGGCAAACTCCAACCGATTGTAAAAACAGCTATTCTAGCCCTTGTAGTTGTGTCGTGCTTATATTTGGCCTGTTTCTCTCCAGAAGGGCTTACTAGGCTTCACCAACTTGTTTGGCTGGAGGGGGGGAATACACCCTTGAAGGCTTTTTTACAAATGCTGACTTGATGTCAACCTTAAGACCAGTTTCAAAGAAAAGTTTCATAATGGAGGAAGATGTCTATCTATCCTGTGATCTTATTTGACCATTGAAATTCATTTGTTTCTGAAGTCATTTGGGTATGTGCTCTACCACTCATACTTGCAGATTACGATTGCTTCCCCCTATTTAAGTGTTTCGGCACACACATGTAAATTGATAGACATAATCGCTTACGTGCTATTTGGGTTTCTGGTGAAACATAAACAAGTTGAGTTTAACGGAACTATTAGCGGTATTGTATGTCGAAAAATTTCAAAATAGAAACATTCCACTAGTCATCGTTTTACGGTATTTTCTTCCAATCATAAAACCCTTCTGTAATCATAATTGATTGGTCAGTGGATGGTGATCAATGTCATGTATGTCAAGTCCTGCTTAGTGTAGATCGAATGCTATCGACCAAGTTGCAATGTGACCACAAGTCTAGGTGACTCGACATTACATGCAATATGTTGAGATTAGATGGTGGTTTTGAGGTAGTCAACAAGAAAACCTGGACTCGGGTTTCGTACTACTTGGCACTCTTCCGCAAAGTGTACCTGTAATCTTGAAGGAACTGGTGCTCCCTTCTGTATGACATTTCCATGAATACTCTAACTGAGACCTGAAATTTCGGGTTTTACAATATATCCCATACTAACTGAGGTTGAAATAGGTACTAGAAGATACTAACCCGAATTCTGATAAATTTATCGTCTTTATAGTTGAATTAATTAGTCAATGTAAGCTAGATCATCATGGTAAACCTGAAAGCCTTGGATGGTAGTTTACATCGACTTATGAATTCAACTATTAAAATTACTACAATCTCCACAAACCTCATTCTGATAAAAATTTACCGCTATTGGCGAGACTATAATTTATGAGCGAACCAATCAGGTATAAGATAACAGATCTCGAATTTTGGCGTAAAATTCACCCATCCATTTAGATAAATAAAGTTTTGTCATTATAGCTGATGTCAGTTCGTGATGAAAACCCTAGCCTAACCATCAACTGTAAATCATAATCCTCACTTGGCCCTGATTATTAGGTGGACACTCTCATGGTCTATTTGGAGTGGCTCAATGGTCGTCCATAAATTATAGTCAACTTGAACTCTAGTTTACTGCATTGAAGACTTTTTTGTGTAGCTTCACACTACTTTAAAATTTGTTAGTAGGTTAACAATTTAAACAAAATTTCAAGTTTTTCACGAGGGCAGTGCAGATCACTTGAAAGTGTGTTCAGAAAGCTTAGTATCATGTTACGAAACTATATTTTATTCCAACCTATAGTATGGAGTAAATGGTGATTGATAAATGTCATGTCATGTGATACTATAATATTTTATTCAATAAAAATATTTAATTTGTCTATATCTGTTTATATTTGTCACAAATACAAAGCTCCACAACCCCTATACTGATAATTAACATATGCTCACTAGTGGCTAGCTTCGTGAAGGAATTCTCGGAGTTCTAGTGAAAGGCCGTGACCAGTGGAGCTAATCCGTGTCGGGTAGAGACAGGTATCTACCTCAGTACAATCGAAGATGGTCGCACAATTTCGTGGATTGGTTGAGGTTAGACATTAACATCACTGGATGCCGGCCATCTCACTGGTCTAGAAATTAAGCGTTCGCACGCGAGACTGAAGGTCCTGGGTTCGAATCTCGCGAGCGGGATCGTGGATGCGCACTGTCACTGAGGAAACCCACAATAGGACGAAACGGTCGTCCAATGCTTCCAGGTTTCCAACGGTGGTCTAACATCAGTCAGTTCATGATCTCAATCAAAAACTTAATGATCTACACAACCCTTATACTGACTAATACATTGTTTTATCGCTAAATTTCTCTGACTTATCCATTGCCTAGAGAGCGCATGATTAAAATCTTAATATTTGACATACATTTCACACTTGTTATGTATAAGCCAATGCAAGCCACTTCTTCAGAGAAATCTTTACTCAAGCCGAAGAGCATCTTAAGTACTCAACCAAACCGCCTAATGATCCTGTAGTACTAAAAAGACTCCAATTTAAATCGGTAATAGCACTTTATGCTATTTTTAATAACCATCAAATGGATATTGAAAACATCGAAATAATTCAAAACGGCTTTTCCAACTACAAAGAAAGGTGAGTAACTGAAGCCTTTCATATATGGATTAATTCAACTACCCTCAATGGAAAAGAAGACTTCACTATATATTTGACGTGAACCATCTCTTCGAGTTACCATGTTTAATTCTATTCATAATTCACACCGTTATCGTACATACAAATTAAACTCTATCCTTTCTTACCAAAAAGCTCACATTTTTTCATTCTTTACTACACATACTTACTAACTTACGCCTGTTACTCCTCGTGAAGGAGTAAAGGCCGTCTTTACTATACATACATACTTACAAATATACAAACATGTCGCATATTAATCACATTGACTGAAATGATATGACACTGACTTGTTCAAACCTGTTCTTTTAATTGATCGTACATAATATTCTTACGTTGTTCTTTTGTACTATTTAAACTAGATTTGGTTATTATAAGTAGTGGCTTACACTAAGTCATGAAACGTCTCAAGATCTAATAACTTAGTTTTTTAGAAGGGATTTTTGTGAATATTATAGTAATTTCATTGGTTGAGATCATGAGTCAATTGAAGCTAGATCATCATAGAAAACCTGGAAGCACTAGATGACCGTCTCGTCCTACTGTGGGACTCCTCAGTGTTGCGCATCCACGATCCCGCCACACGAGATTCAAACCTTGGACTTGTCTGTTTTGCGCATGAATGCCCAACCACTAGACCATTGAGATGGCTAGCATCCAGTGGTGTTAATGTCTAACTTCAACTAATTCACGAAGTTGCGCCATTGTCCACCATTGTCATCAGTGAGTTACTATCTCACAACGGACCCGGTTGAACTGCACTGGTCACTGCTTCTCACTTTAGAACTTCAGGAAATACCTATTGGAGACCATCACTTATGAGCATACGATGATTATAATCAGAGAGGGATTTTGTGGTTATCATAGTAATTTAATAGTTGAATGCATGAGTCAATTTAAAGTTAGACCATCATGTGAAACCCGGAAGCAATTTTGTTTTATTAACTGAGCTTTACTCATCAGTTTCTTATCAGCATTTACTCATTATGTTGTAGTGACTCACGTTTATCACGAGAACACGACTGGTTTAATAAAAACAATTATTATTATAACCAACTGTACCAGTGTTTGTTTTAATGTGCTTTTGTTTGACTGTGCTAATGACAGCTATTTTGTGCTTCCATTCTTTTACTTACACTTTGATTGTAACTTCGCGCGAATTCGGTTACCTTCTGTAACCAAGGTTGTATCCTGGCACGATCTCGGTATCCTTTCGATGCCACGAGATCGCCAGCAAATATAACTCGACTTGGTCCATTACTTGCCTTCTGGTATTTGGCTTCTCGGGGATTTTATGGATCTATTTGGTTACGTCCAACCCTCGCCTTCTGATTTATTTGGCACGTGTTTCTTTGTAGCGGTGTTCATAGTTAACCTCAACTCGACGCCACGCTACAATGTAATCACTTGATTTTGACCCTTTGAACTTTTGTTCCAATCAATATTGTAGAATATTCTTTTACATAAGGTATATATATTTACAATATTGAGTATTTTTAAACACTTTTTCACTCTTACTATACTATACTAATATGTCTTTAGTATAACTTCCAACTAAACCATCTCATATGAGCCATTTATACCCATTATGTAATTATGATGTTTAAGTATCATACGATGTAAGCAATGAGATATCAACTCACTGAAGACAATGGTGTACGGTGGCGCAACTTCGGGGATTGGTTGAGGTTAGACATTAACACCGTTGAATGCCGGCCATCTCAGTGGTCTAGTTGGTTAACAGCCTGGTGGGAGACTGATACGTCCTGGGTTCGAATGACGTGGGAGGCGGGATCGTGAATGCGCGCTGCTGAGGAGTCCCATACTAGGACGAGACGGCTGTCCAGTTCTTCCAGGTTTTCCATGGTGGT